TTCCCAAGGTTAGGAAACTGGAAATAAGGCCCCCTACAAAAACCCGTGTGCCCCAAGGGTTCCACATTGGTCTTGGAAAACAGCAGGCAAGTTTGCAGCTATCTGGACCCACATGTGGAAAAAGCAAAAAAGGCAGAGATGGGTCTGAATTTACATCATCCTCCTAACACAGGAGGTACAGAAAATAATATAGTGAACCTCCATGATTCATGTAAAAAATAAAATTTCTGTATTGTTGAAGTACCCCTCTCCAATAATCACATTATTCTCTCTGCCAGAGGCAACTGCTTTCCTGAATCTTAGTGTTTATCATTCTCAAACATATCTTTATTCCTTTATTACATATGTATGTATCCCTAAACAATATCCCATTTCTCTCTCTAGCATGGCTCTCATCCTCAACATTTCACTAAGAATGCGCAAAGCCACCAATGACTTAGGTGCTAGCAAATTTAAAGAATACGTCTATGTCCTTGTCTTAGTTGCCCTCTGTGCAGCTCTCTACAGTTATTTTTTCTTTCACTTCTTCTGAAGGTTCCACTCCCTGGTGTTTCTCATCCGTTCAAATAACCCTAATCTCAGCGCCTTTGCTCTCCTTCCTCTGCCCGAACGCAAAATGCTGGCCTGCCCATGGCCCAGTTATGGGTCTTCTCATCTCCAGCTATACCCTCTCCCTAGGATGTCTCCTTCAGTTCCCTGACTTTAAATTCTCTACATAAAATGACTGCCAAACCTCTATCTCGGACCTTGATCTTTCCTTGAGCTCCTAGCTTACGTAGACAACTGCTCATTTGACTTCTCCACTCTTTCCTTTTTTTAAAGATTTTATTTATTTCTTTTTAGAGAGAGGGGAAAGGAAGGAGAGAGGGAGAGAAACATCAGCGTGGTTGCCCACTGGGGACCTGGCCCACAACCCAGGCAAGTGCCCTGACTGGGAATCAAATTGGTGACCCTTTGGTTCACAGGCCGGCACTCACCCCATTGAGCCACACCAGCCCGAGACTGATATCTCCACTTTTAAGTCTTCAGGACATCTGACTCAACATGATCAAAATGAAACCCTTGACCTACTCTGTTAGGGGGTCGGTGATGTGGACTGTGAAAGAATTCACAAAGACAAGAAAATATAGAGAATAAAGATTTTAAAATTTTTTTAAAATTGATTTTCGAGAGACGGAAGGAGGTTAGGGGAGAGAGAAATATTGACTTGCTGTTCCACCCATCCATGGATTCACTGGTTGATTCTTTTTTTTATTTTTTTAAGATTTGATTTATTTATTTATTTTCAGAGAAAGGGGAAGGGAGCAAGAAAGAGGAAAAGAAACATCAATGCGTCTTGCGTCTCGTAGGCCCCCAAGTGGGGACCTGGTCTGCAACCCAGGCTTGTGCCCTGGCTGGGAATCAAACCGGTGACCACCCTTTGGTTGGCAGGCTGGTGCTCGATCCACTGAAGCACACCAGCCAGGGCTGAGAATAGTTTTCATTCACTCTCCAAGGAAGGAGAGGCATGGTGTGGAGAGATACACCAGCATTGAGGGGGGGGGACTTTGAGTTTTTATTGGATTGTAATTGGAAAAAAAAGGTTTGGGGGGGGTCGCTGCTGTGCGGCCCCTGGGCTGCTGGGGCGCTGTAGCGGGGGCTGCAGTTTGTTCCAGTGTTATCTTCTGCTGTGGCTGTAGGGGGCGGTTAGTTCTGTTCTTGCCTCCCCTAATTTCCAGTCCTGGAGACAAACTCAGAAAACTAAAATGGCTGTCATGCTTAACAAGGTCATTGACCTACTAGGCAAATGGTGCCACACTAGCAAACGGGGCTGGCTTTGTCCTTTCATACCCCACTGCCCAACCTCTTTCCTTCACGACCCTACTCCCTTTTCAGGAAATGGTTCATCATCCACTCAGTGTCTTGTCAGAAACCAGGAGTCATCCATGATAACCCTTTCTTCACCCCCATGCCCAACCTGTCAACCTAAATAAAGAGGGAAACTGAAGCAAGCTTGGATTACCAGAAGCTGAGTTTAGGTGGGAATAGCAGAGGAATTGCAATTTGGAAACACATGCTGTAGCAAGCTACAGGCTAGTCTGCTGGGCGTTTGGGACAGGATGTATATATGGGCAAGAAGCACAAAGAGGGGAAATTCAGCCAGAGTCCACGCAGCGAATTCACTGGTTTGAGGATGAGGACAGATTTTGTTGTTGTTGTTGTTGTTGTTTATGCTGTTACAGCTGCCACATTCTTCTCCCTCTTTGCCCTCCTCCACCCAGCCCGTCCCCCACGTCCATAGTCAATCCCCACACCAGTGTCCAATGTCCATCGGTCCTACATATGCTCTTTGACTAATCCCGTCGCCCTCTCTCAAACAGTTCCCACCTCCCTCCTCCCCTCTTACCGCTGTCAGGGTACTCCATTGATTCTATGCCTCTGGTTCTATTTTGCTCACTAGTTTATTTTGTTCATTAGATTGCTCTTAGAAGTGAGATCCTTGAGGAAAGATTCTTATAGGTGTTCATTGGTCAGGAGATAAGTCTCTCCATCTTCTGTAATTCAGGCATTTATGGGAAATCAGTCTTTCAGTTTCTTGTTTGTGTTTTTGTTTTGTTTTGTTTTTGTTTTGAGAGAAGGGAAGTGGTAGGGAGAGAAACAAAACTGATTTGTTGTTCTACTTATTTATGCATCCAGTGGTTGATTCTTATATACGCCCTGAACAAGGATGGAACCCTCAGTCTGGCCTGTGGGGATGACAGTCTAACCAACCAACGGAGCTATCTGGCCAGGGAGGCTCTCAATTCTTAAGTTCCTTTCCTCTGAGGGCATGTGTGAGATTCTCCATTTCATATTCTCTGGTTTCATTATAGATTGAAATCCTTTCACAAACCCAACAGCAAGACACATTCACTCCACTTTCCAAACAAGATACACCTTTAATGCATTCTATCAGCTACATTTCCATTGTCACTACCCCAGGCTAGGCTGGCATAGTCTCTTGCCTGCTAAATGGCCTCACTTCCAGTCTTGCCCCTTCAAATCGGTTCTCCACACAGCAGCAAGAATGATACACACAACATCAAATGTATCTCAGATCTTGTCACTCCTCTGCTTATATTTCAATGGCTTCTCATTAGAATAAAAGCCAAAATTATTACAAGCTACAAGATGCTAAATGATTTCACTTCTCTCTCCCTTACCTACTGCTTTGCAACCACACTGGCTTCTTTCAGTTCTTCCAACCAAGTTTTTTCCTACCTCAGCGCCTTTGTACACACCATTCTCAAATCTTAGTCCAGAAGGCTCTCCTCTTTGATATGGCCTGTCCCTCCTTGTTTTGCAGACTCAGGTTAAATCTTGTTACTGGAAAGGGGACCTTGCCTTGAGCTGGTTTGCCTAGGGCTGGCCGGTAGTGTGTGGGTTCCTGACTTTGTGTCAGAAAGATTTCACAGCACAAGTCTGGATGATTTTTAGAGCACGTTTATTAAGCTGGGGACAGTGAAACAAGGAGGGCTTAGATATTGGAAGCAATAGGACAGCCTAAGTGGGCTGCCTTGGCTGTCTAGAAATGTTAGAGCAAAGAAATGAGCCTTGGCAGAGTTGCTTTAGCTCACTAAGAAGTCAGAAAGAGGGGAACTTGAGGACAGGGTCAGGGCTTAACCCAGGAAGAGCTGCTATTGCCCACTGCTCCCAGCCTTGTGGGGTCCCTTAGAATTTAGGAGATGCATGCCTGCCGGGGAAGAGGAAGGCAGGCTGTGGGCATGCTCCTGGCAGGGAGAGCACCTGCTGGGACCTTCCTTTTGAGCGTTTTTAAAAGATGGAGTTTTGGGGAGGCCTTTGGGAGGATCTCAATAGAGTATTCATCAGCTTTATGCTGATGTACCAAAATGAGATTTTTTTCCCCTCTTAACTTCATCTGTCCTTGGGTGTGGTTGGCAAACGACACTAATTGGATTTCTGCTCTCTAGCTTCCTGAGTGGGGTGATTTAAGCTACTTACCCTCTGGTAGGGAAGTGTAAACCATTTACTCCCAAGTGTCCTTGGTTACAGAAGATAAGATTTTGCGATTTACTAGATGGACACAAACTGCTTGGCATCTAGATTTACAAGATGGCTCCCAACTTCTTGTTTGACTACCTCAGTTTCCCTGCTTGTCCTGGCTTACTGTCCTGTCTCAGTCTCACTTCAAAGATTTCTTTTCTGGCCACTTTACCTAAAGTAGGTTCCTCCATGATCGTATTCTCTATTTCAGCTCTGTTTCCCTCAGAGCACTTACCACAGTTTGTAACTTACTTGTTATTTACTTCGTTTTGTCCTCCGTTCATATCAGACTGTTAGGTCAAGGGGAGTAAGAATTACTATGTCACAAAACAAAACAAAACTAAACTATCTCTAGCACCTATCAACATGCCTAGTACGTAGTACACACAATACAAATCTAGTGAATCGGTGACTTCAATGCACTTTAAACATAATGCCTCCCCTAAACTTTGCAGTAAGACGGCAAAAGAGAAAACATGCCCCACATTGTTTGTAAAGAAGGAAACCCAGTCAAGTTTCTAACTTGTCCGTGGTCACCGACTAGTAACTGAGGGAGTCATGACTGGAACCCATGTCTGTAGGTCTCCAGAGCCCTCACTCACACACCATCCCGAAGATTCCCAGTTTTGGGGTACCCAACAATACAGAAGCACTAGACAACAAAGAGAGGAAGAGACCCACCCCCCCGCCCGAGGGCCTCGCGAAGTTCCCAGGAAGCCCTGCGCTCGGAGGTGTGGCAGACGAGTGGGCGGTGCCAGGCGCCGGAAGCCCGGCCGGAGACTACGTATCCCAGAAGGCTTGGCTGGGCGCCGCTGACTGGTGCAAGCGAGGCCGGCGACAGCGTGAGGACGTTCAGGGACGCTGGCGCGCGGGATTTAAACTGGGCAGTTTACGCGGCGTCAAGACTTTGTAGGTTTAGCAGAGTTGTAGGTTCTTGCTGTTTGGTGTTTTTTCCTGGCTCATCTCCGGACTGCCTGATGGACTCGTCGCTTCAGGCCCGCTTGTTCCCCGGTCTCGACATCAAGATCCAACGCAGTAATGGTGAGGGGCGGGGTCCCGAGGCCAGGGGGACCCGCGGGCGAGAGAGGGCTGAAATTACTGCCCCTAACCCCAAACGGCAGGCCCCTGAGACACTGTTGGGGATTCCCCTCACCCCGTAGATCCGGGTTTCCGCACTGGCGATGGGTCTTCCTTACCCAGGGCCAGGCAGGGGGTTCTGCGCAGGCGGTTGATCCTCTTCCCGTCCTCTGGGAGTAGGCGGGGCTCCTCCAACTCAACCGATCTCCAAGGGAATTTAGGATTGCAACATTAACTTCCCTTCTAAAATGCTCTTCTGAAACTGCCCTGGTCTTGTAGGGACCTCGGCTTCCTGGCCCGTATACTCGCCTGTAAATATTGTGCACTTGCAATATGTCAGGCACTGGGATTCAGGGTAACGAGACAGACCAGATCCCTGCTCTTTAGGAGCTTACAATTCTCTCTCTCTTTGGTTAAGAAGCTTCCGCAGCTCTCGCAGGTCTAATACACGTGTCATTGGGAGAACCGTCAGGAAGTAGGGAAACTATGAGGGCGCTAGAGCCTCAGTGCTGTGTTGAGGAACAGTTCGCCCAAGTACTGGAGTAACTCTTCTGTCCAGCGATACCTTTACTTTACTCTGTAGCTCTCTTTTGAGTGGCACTAAATCCTTATACCCTGAAACTCGGTTTTAAGACTGGTTCTCTGCCTACCTCACTATGGGATGTTCTAAGGGTGAAGTGTCAGGACTACTGTTAGAAAGAAAGGAAGCTGTCCTTTCCTTCAGGTCAGCTTCACACTGAGAGTCTCCGTGAGGTCCTAAAAGTGAACGAGATGGGTAACTCTGGCTTTTTCATTACTATAGGCTTAATTCACAGTGCCAATATAAGGACTGTGGACTTGGAGAAAGCCTGTGTTTCAGTGGAATGGACAGAAGGAGGTGCCACAAAAGGCAAAGAGGTAGGTTCTACCTAAAAGATCTGTGTGAAAATGGAACTTGTGAGAGCCTTCTTGTTGTCGTTGTTTCCTTTTTTCAATTAGCCATAATCGCGCCTCAGGTACACCTCAATGGCGGTGATACTGCCACTGCACAAAGCTGAGAGCCTTGTTTTTGATGCTGTGTTGTCCTCCCTGGTCTCAAACATGGTCCTCTTTGGATGCATTGGCATTTTGCTTAGTAAAACCTATTCCAAATTGAAGCAATCAACAGTTTCCGGTGTGTTTGTAGAAAGCAAACTGCACAGCATCCTAAAACCTTGCTCACCCAAGCTAGCTTCTTCTGAATGCATAGGATAATTGTTTGGGGAGCAAAATTGATAATCTAATTGAGAAAACAAAAGTATATTTCTGAGACACCAAATAACAGAAGGCAACGTGTGATAAATTGCACAGGTGAATAGTGCTGGAACAGATCAGAGTCGGAACTCACTGAGGATGAGCTGGGCTGCGGGCAGGCAGGTTTAGCAGATAGCCCTCCTGGGGGTAAGTGAAGAAGCTGGCTCCAGGCAGCAGAAGGCTCAGGGTGCTGGGTCTTCATCTCTGGCACTTAAGATGTTTGAGATTTTATTCTGTAGGCAGTGGGGTGCCTTGGAAGGATTTTGAGGAGAGAACAGCTGTGACTAAGACATTTATATTTTAGAGGCATTGAAGTGTGTAGAGACCATCAGGCTAGGAGTATGACAACCTGGATTCTAATCTGTCACTGCCATTATTTTATGTGTTCTCAGACATGTTTCTGCCCCCCTTAGAAATTCAATTTTCTCATTTATAAAATGAGAATGATAACATCTACTTCATAGAGTTGTTGTGAGGACTTATTCAACAAATCCTTTTGTGCCATTTCCAAAATGCGAGACAAGAGAAAGTACAATACAAAAGAAAACAAACAAAAAAGTGCCATATAGTGAGTGTGTTTGGTGCTGGGGATACAGGGTGAGTAAGACAAACCTGGACCCTCCTTCATGGAACTTTGAGATAACACATGTAAAGGGCTTGCTTAGCATGCTGTCTTATGGTAGGTATGCCGATATTTAGATGGTGTATTTGAGAAATAAAAGGATCGAATACTTTACATTATCTTGCCTTGAATCAAGAAGTTCCTAAAATTTCTTTCAACCAGCTATGAGTTCCATATAATTTGTTTTTGTTTTGTTTTGTTTGGAAGTACAGCTCTTGTTGGGTGTCACTCTAGCTCAAATATTGCCCATGGAGTAAGGTCCAAACTTCTTGTGAGGCATTCAAAGCGTTTTCAAGATTTTGATCCAATCAAGCTTTTTCTTTGTTTCACACAAAGCATCCTGTGCCAGGGCAAATGGGGCAGCTCTCCGCTCTGTGACCATGCCTAGTGCCTTGCTGCCTTCACACTCTTATTCCTTCCTTTTGGGATGTTCACACTCATTCATCAATGTGCAAATAGATTAATGTCAGAACTAGAATTAGGACTCTAGTCTCCTATGCTTATGCTCTCTGTAGTTTACAGGTTTGAAATGGGGGAGGGATGTGTAGTAGGGGTCTGTAGCTGTGGAAGAAAAATGGATACACACATAGTTACTGGCATACTTGCCAACTTTTGCATTTGGTTATTCTGTCTTCCTTGTCTACCTCATGCTGCTTTGGTTTCTAGCTCTTTATACATGACTTCTCTCCCCCCTTTAGAATGTTGAGCTCACTGAAGGCAAGGGTGATGATATATGTCTTAATTGATCTTTGAATACCTTCTTCCTACTGCCTTACTAATGCAGAGTAAATTTTTTAATGAGCCAATTAATAAGTAGGAGGTAAAACTCTTACCCTGGTGTTTGCACCTGCTGTGAAGTATGCTGATGAAGTTTGAGTTGTTCCTAGAGAGCTCAGTACTCTGGTGATGTAAACCTAGAATTGTGACCTCATTGCAGGCATGAGCAGAACACTGTGACTGGGGAAGAAGTTTCTGGGCCCATTAAAATATGTAGGTAGACTTAGGGTTAGGTAGCAGCTCTTGGGAACTCATCCCCGACCATAAGATCCTGAAGGGCCCTCCATTTTAACCATCACTGGGGCAGTTAGAACTTGTTTCTTTCTCTGTATCAGCCAGCAAGAGGTGTTTGAGTCACTGTGCCCAGCTGGACCCTACTGCCCAGCATAACAGTCAGGGAGCCAGCTGGCCTAGATCTACTGTGGACTGACTGACTGCCTGCCTGCCTGCCTGTCTGCCTCTTCACCTTGTTCTCATCACTGACATCTACCATTAGCTTGGAAATCAGAAAACAATATCCATCTAGATGGTAAACCACAACTAAGAAATAAATATTTGTTTATAACTGTTACTACTTGGTGGAACTTAAAGTCGGTAAAGTCTGAATCTAGAGATAGCCTTGGTTGCAGAGATGCAATTGGTTTGCACAACCAATATCGTTTCATTAAGAACTTCTCTTTGCTCCTTGCAGATTGATTTTGATGATGTGGCCGCAATAAACCCAGAGCTCTTACAGCTTCTTCCCTTACATCCAAAGGATAATCTGCCCCTGCAGGTGAATGTAACGGTAGGTGCCTGATCTGGCTGCAGCCACTGCCCCAGACGACACTTGGCATGTTAGCTCTTTGCTGGGTACTGTTTAGGGACTGCCTAGGACTTCTGGACAGCACATGGGCCCTTGAGAATTGAAAAGAGCCATATATCATGGTGGTGTTTTTTATTTTTCAGAGACAAAAACGCAGGTCAGCCAACTCCAAGATTCCCGCTCCAAAGGAAGGTAAATGGATTTCAACTGGCTTATTGTCATGGGGTTGTGCCCGGAATGATTTTCCTGGAGCTCAGGCAGCTGTGAAGTAGACTCATTGCTCCAGTTTAACAGGTGGCTTCTTTGTGATCTGAGTCCTGCAGTAACTTCCAAGCATCTTCCTCAGTGAGGAAGAATCCAGCCTATAAGGAGGAGGAAATGGGGAGGTATCAGTCAAAGGGTACAAAGTTTCAGTTATGTAAGATAAATAAGTTCTAGAGGTCTAATGTACAGCATAGGGCCTATGATTAACAATATTGTGTTTGTCTACTTAAAAATTTACTCTAAGGGTAGATCTTGTGTTAGTGTTCTTACCGCAAAAGGAAAAATAACCAAAACAAGGGGAGCGGGAGGAAACTTTTGGAGGTGATGGATAAGTTTATGGCATCGAGCGTGATGCTGGTTTCATGGATGCATAGTTATCTCCAAACCCAGTAAGTTGTATACATCAGATATCTACAGCTTTTGTATGTCAGTCATTCCTCAAAACAGTTTTTAAAAAACAAATGAATGTAGCCATTCAACCTACAGCTTTTAGGCCAACCCCTCGGGGAACTGGTGCATTTGGGAAATTTGCTGACTGGCCTAGAAGTCTTCGCTGTGGAATCCAGAGCAGTAATCAGCCATTGGCAGGCTTGTTTTCTTTCCCCGGGGTGAGGTGGTGAGCAAGCTGTGAGAAAAGCTAGTTCTGGGCTGTTTAGAAGTATAGTTGATGGTGCTATGGAGATCTGGGGGTAGGGTAGAGTGGGTGGAAGTTCAGCAATGCCTCAGCCTAGGAGAAAGTTGCACTTTCTCTGCAGAAGTTAGCATAAACCTACTTTGACTGCAATAGTCTGTGGCCACAGTGGGCAGCTATGGGCACATTACCCAAGAAATCCAGCTTATTTTTCAGAACCAGCTATACTTGCACGGCCTATTCCAGTCCAGAGAATATCACTGCCCTGCATGATCTAGTTACCTCAGGGGCCAAGATAACCACTTGGCTCGGGCTTCAGGTTCCTGGGGGTCCAGGGTGAAAGGTGGCGCAGTTGCAAGCTTGGGCTGGGCATGAGTGACATGGTGTTGGCCCCCTCTTGCTGGCCTGCAGCATGGATGGGAGGGGCAGCAGTCTCGCTCCACATGCACGACCCCAAGGGATATTGCCACACAGCTCCTTTGATGGAAAAAATCTTTATAAAGGTGCATGTTAATGCACAGTGGAGATGAAACAAGATTTAAAATCTTTTGGGACATGGGAAACGTAATAATTCGTGCTCTTTATGAAAGGCATGGATTATATAGTGCCATCAGATCAGCCTAAATTTAGGAGACTCAGAAATTCGGTATGGGTTGATTGTTGCCTATATGACACTACATGTTCTATTTCCAACTTTTATCTTATAGGTGAATCATTTCTCTCTCATGGAGGGAAACTATACAGATGGGTAGAAGTTGATAAGAATTCAAATATAACTCATTTGTTTCTCTCAATTAAGCCTTCTTTTAAGATTTCAGAAAATCAAGGTAGCTGATTCCATGGGTTTCTGATGGCTCAGGGTTGGCTCTGTAAAGCTTCCTGGAGCAATGGTAAAAGTCGAGACTCTGGAATCTGACAGTCCTGGGTTCATATCCTGACCCTGACACTTATAATTGAGTGACATTGAGCACATTGCTCAATTTCTCTGAGCTTTAAGTTCCGTTCCCTCAGATGGAAATACTGATATTTCCCTTATAATGTTGTTCTGAGGCATGGGAAGAGTGCTGCAGAATGGTAGGTATGGGGTTAGGTCGGTCTCTCTAGGAATGATTTCATATTGGCTCTAGGTCCCTCCATTTACTCAAGACAGATGCTCTTGTGGGAGATCTTGCCCTCAGGAGCCCTCGGATTTGCAGAATGTGAACAAATTCATTTGGGGTCAGCAGTACTTAGAATAATTTTTGCTTTCCTGGTGGTCTGGACCCATCTCACCCTGTATAGAACCTTGGAGGGTTGCCCCCATCAGTCCTCCTGATCATACTATGCTGATTGCCCCCTGGTTCCTCAGGTCTCCGAAGCCGCTCCACTCGCATGTCCACTCTCTCAGAGGCTCGCATCCCCACTCAGGAGAATGATATGGAGGTGGAGCTGTCTGCACCTGCAAATCCCCGCAAGCACTTTTCAGTTCCTGGTGAGTAATGAATCCCTGCTTCCTGAATCCGTGCTCCCTAAATCCGTGCTCCCTGTTTGAGGCCCCGGAGCAGCTCCTCACACATTACCCTGAACCTGTTCTTGAATATCCTAAGATTCCTACACACCCTTGGCTGAACCTGTTCTTGAATATCCTAAGATTCCTACACATCCTTGGCTTAGTACTTGTTCTGCACCTGCCCCACAGCTCCCTTATCAAGAAACTGTTTTTTTTTAACTTTATTGAAACATAATATATAGTATATACAGAAAAGTGAACATATCATTGAGTATATAGTTCTCAAACACAGTCATAAAACCAATACTCAAATCAAACAGCATTACCAGTACCCAAAAGTCCCCCTCAGGTGCCCTTCCAGTTCCTAAGCCCCCAGTGGAACGTATAATCTTCTGATAGCATAAATTAGCTTTTTCTCTTTTTGAATTTTATATATATGGAATTTAAAAATGTTTAATTTAAACTTTTATTAGATACGTAAAGTAGATGCAGATTTTGTAAGACACACAGTCATTATATCTTACATACAGAGTCCTGCAGAAGTAACGCCTGCTTGAGTGTGGTTGGTAGGGTAATAATATGGTTGTAATAATTTATAGTTTTAATTTGAACATTTCACTGAAAATGTCATGGTGTGCTTGAGTGTGATATTGTTATGTTACAGAATTACATGCTTATGATTTTGTAATAAAAAAGGGTGTTATTTGTGCTGGACCCTGTATACCAAATTTAGCCCTTACAAAATGAAGATAAACAAAAAAGGATCATGACCGAATATAGAAAGTAACGGTCGTCCTGGGTTGTACCTTTCTGGGTTGTATAGTTACTTGTTGTCCATGTTTCCATTATTTCTGGCTTTTCGGTCTTAGCTTCTGTTAACCACCTGAGTTCCAAGGCTTTTGAGAAGTCAGAAAGGTCTGGCCTAAGAACCCATGCTTGTGTCAAGCCTAAGGAATTCAGGCATTTAAAGGCTTTTCCCTCCATGGTGAAGGCTATACTGAGGTATTCACACACCCTTTTAAAATTTTTTGACCCCAGGAGCCAGCCCCTGAAAAGATACTGGTGTGGTTCAGGGTGTGGGCCGAGGTGACAGGAAAAGCCCAAGCTCTGCTCACGCTGTAGGAGCCTGAGCCCTCGCTGAGCTGGCAGCCAGTAGCCCTTCTGGCCTGTGACCCACTAGGGTTCAGCTGAGTACAGCTGTGGTAGCCTGCCTCCTTCTCCAATGACTCTTGTTCCCCTACAGCGGGCCCCCCTAGGAACGCCTGCCCTGCAGTGGCTGAAATACCATTTCCAATCGTCAGCGAGGAAGTGGAAGAGCAAGTTCATTCCATCCAAGGCAGCTCTTCTGCAAACCCCGTGAACTCAGGTAGACACACAGAGCTGTCTGCTGCCCTGCTCCTAGTGCAGGACAAGTAGTTGCATCCTGTCTCATACCTGGCCTGCCTTGGTACCTGAGTTCAAACCACGTTTGTCACTTGAGTGGTGTGTTTTCTTTTGGCCATGGAATCTATTTTTCATAAGAGGTGACCCTGTCCCCCTAAGCTGGCAAGAACCTTCTGATGTAATAGAGGTGTCACAGATATAGTGTTTTAGCTGATACCTGAATAACTATTAAGACCAAGTAGAAATACTCTTACCTTTTCTGGTTGTTGAGAAAATGCCACAGAGGTTTGGTTTGGGGAGAGCTTGGGTTAGACCTGGGGTATCACATTAGCAAGTCTTTACTTTGTGGGTTTGGCAAGAATCACATCTACTGCTTCCTTTCCTTGTGTTTGGTGATTTAAGTACAAGGGTCTAGAGAAGGCCTAGTCCTGGGAAAGGCCCAGGACTCAGTACAACAGCCAGAGAAGAGCAGGCTGGCTGGCCTAGGCAAGGGAAAGAACAAGCTTTCCTCCCTCTCCACCCTTCCTTCCCCAGTTCGGAGGAAGTCATGTATTGTGAAGGAAATGGAAAAAATGAAGAACAAACGAGAAGAGAAGAGGGCCCAGAACTCTGAAATGAGAATAAAACGAGCTCAGGTACCTTTCTTGGGAAGCTAGGGCCAGGGATTTTGGTGGGTATCCTTAACTGCAATGTTAACAGCAACACAGATACAGCTGGACCCCAGCATTACTGAGGCTCCAATTCTGATATCCAGGAAGTTAAACTGTTGTCTCATGAGAATTCAGAGAACAAATCAGTTATTTTTCTGAGGGCCTTTAGATGAGGACTACTTCATGCTGGTTGTCCAGTGGGCACGCCCATCGCATAGTGCAGTGGGCAGCAGGGCTGCGGGACACCATCGCCTGCTTTCCCCCAGCCTCCTAGTTGTGTGCATGTGTGGTGCTGCAATGCAGCTCTAGTTTGGAGCATTTCCCTTCAGTTGGGTTAATTGCTTTGGGGAATCCTACCCTAACCTCCTAAGATGTGAGACAGTGGCCCTCGCCCCAGTTCCCAGAGTGGTTTGGTGCATGCCTAGGCACTCCTGCCGATCTCTCTTCCTAGGTTTTGTCCCTGGGCTCTCAGCCTAGAGCTGGGATGGGTGGAAGTGAGATCATGTTGGGGGTTTTGTCAACTAATGGGCCAACATGAAGAGAGGTTGCTTCTGCTTAGCACTGAGGTCTGGGAGCACTTACATCTTAGCAGTCAGTTTTTGTTTTTGTTTTTTGCTCTTGTCTCTAACAGGAGTATGACAACAGCTTTCCAAACTGGGAATTTGCCCGGATGATTAAAGAATTTCGGGCTACTTTGGACTGTCATCCACTTACTATGACTGATCCTGTAAGTAAACCCAATAAAAAGACAGAAAACTTCTCTTTAAAGGAGTGAGCTTCTGGGCTCTCCCTCCTGGGAGCACGCCCATACCTCTTCTCTTCTCTCAGGAGTGCGTCTCCTAAACTGTAAGGGACCCCACGAGGCTGGCGACCAGGGGAGCGGTGGGCAGCGGCATCTTGTCCTGAGCTAACCCCCTGAACCCGTCTCCAAAGCCTCCTTTTTTCTGACTCCTCAGTAAGCCAAACATCTCTGTCTAGGCTGTCTCTTGTTGCTGCTTCTATCCTAAGCTCTTTCTTATTTCAGTGTCCCCAGGTTTAATAAATGTACGCTAAAAATATAAATAAATAAATAAATAAATAAATAAATAAATAAGCAAGCAAGCAAGCAAGCAAGCAAGCAAGCTGTGAGCCCTGGCTGGGCAGCTCAGTTGGTTAGAGCATTGTCCCAGTATGCCAAGGTTGCAGGTTTTGCTTCCTGGTCAGAGCACATACAAGAATAAGCCAATGAATTCATCAATAAGTGTTTCTCTCCTCTCTCTCTCTCTAAAATCAGTAACTTAAAAAAGAAATTTTAAAGGCATGAGAGTATTGAAAACTCTTCACTCACACTTAAGGGTATATTTAATATCCTTGGTGGGCTGGAGTTAGTGAGTCTGATCTTTTCTCTCTCTCTCTTTTTTTTTCCATTTCCAAATGCTTTATTTATTTGTTTTTAGAGAGAGGGGAAGGTAGAGAAGGAGAGAAACATCAATCGCTTGCCTCTCGCATGCCCCCAACAGGGGACCTGGCCCTCAACCCAGGCATGTCCTGATCGGGAATGGAACCAGCAACCTTTCAGTTCTCGGGCTGGCACTCAATCCACTGAGCCACACCAACCAGGGCAAGATTCTGATCTTTATAAACTCCCCTCCACTCCCACCCTCCCCACTTTCATAGGTTGGCCAAATTCCTACTAAGAATCATGAAAGTATGTTGAAACCTGTAGACAGCAGAGTGAAAAGACTGGGAAGAAAATTCAGAGCTACCCTCTTGTGCTCTTGAGTAACTAATGGGGGAGGCAGGGTCCTGGTATTACATCTTGTCCCCTGAATGGGCCAGACATGGGATTAGAAGGGGAGGGGTTCTGGAGAAGCTTTCTTTAATACTGTCCTAACCTTTTATTGGTTGGTTCTCTCCTCTCATCCTCTTGAAGATTGAAGAGCATAGGATATGCGTTTGTGTTAGGAAACGCCCGCTGAATAAACAAGGTAAACTGCATTCAGTCAGAAAGAGGTTTTGGAGTAACTGAGGGTTCCCATATCTAGAAAGCATCCCCTGAAAATACTCTCCTTCTGCAGAATTGGCCAAGAAAGAAATAGATGTGATTTCTGTTCCTAGCAAGTGTCTGCTCTTCGTACACGAACCCAAGTTAAAAGTGGACTTAACAAAGTATCTGGAGAACCAGGCATTCTGCTTTGACTTTGCATTTGATGAAACAGCTTCAAATGAAGTCGTCTATAGGTTAGTCCCTTGCCTCCTCCTCCCACCCCCCATCCCCCATCCGCCCCTTTGGTCTTTTCCATGCAAGGCAGTGTGGTAACACTGCTCACGGGCATACTGAACTCTAAAGCCCTCCCTTGCGCCTCTCACGTTTCCTTTGCATCAGCCATCACATAGAGCTGGTTTTGGTTCTGGTTCCTCCGCTGCCATTTGCCATTTTGCAGCTTTAGCAGCGCATCCTTGAATGGGTCAGAAGTGAGGTGACCCAGACCCACTGCATTCTCTGAGGCTGGTCTGGGCAGGCTTCAGGGCTGCTTCCAGTGCCGTGTGCAGCCGCCCCGTTACCCACTCGGCAAACTCTAGGACTGCCGTGCCTAATAGAGCACCCACTAACCTCATGTGGCTATATAATAAAAGTTAAATAAAATTGAAAATTCAATTCTTTAGTCACATAAGCCACATTTCGAGTGTTTGATAGCCACATGTGGAAATAGCTACCCTTGGGCAGCACAGAGAGAGAATAGTCCCATCATCACAGATAGTTTTACTGGACAACATTGCTCCAAACCAGAGGCCGACAAACTTCTGGGCCATTTTTGGTTCACAATCCCTTTTTATATGATTCTCAAACCAAGGATGATTTTTATATTTTTAAAGGATTGTTCTGTTCTATTCTAGTCTAGTCTAGTCTATTCTATTTTTAAAGATTTTAGCCCTGGCTGGTGTGGCTCAGTGGACTGAGCGCCGGCCTGCAAACCAAAGAGTCACTGGTTCAATTCCCAGTGTAGGGCACATGCGAGGGTTGCGGGCCAGGTCCCCAGCAGGGAGCGTGCGAAATACAACCACACATTGATGTTTCTCTCCCTCTCTTTCTCCCTCCCTTCCTCTCTCTCTAAAAATAAATAAAATCTTTTTTTCTGTAGGGGGAGAGAAACATCAATCCTGCTAAAGGATTGTTTTAAAACAATCTGACAGACCTACATGGCCCACAAAGCCTAAACTATTTAAGACTCCTACTTTAGAGGGTTCCCTCTGACCTTTGTAATATGTCTTATGCTGGGAGTCAGCTGCTAAGTTCAGGCTTTCATCTTATGTCTCCAGAGTCAGAAGAGGGGCTGGTGGCTTGGAGTGCGGGCCATCAGCTTGCTCTTGGCAAGTCAGTCCAGCCTCCTTAAATCAGCTAGGAGAATTTCAGATTTGTAAGTGGGGCTGGGATCAGGTTGGGACCATTTTGCAGGAGAGGATTACTAGTGTTCGGAAGGAGGAATCAAGGACCCAGGAATTCTTCAGTGGAAGGGCAGCAGGACCATGTTCTGGGGTGCACATTTTGCTCAGAGATATACACTCTTCTCTATCCCTTCTAGGTTCACAGCAAGGCCACTGGTACATACAATTTTCCAAGGTGGAAAAGCAACCTGTTTTGCATATGGTCAGACAGGAAGTGGCAAGACACATGTGAGTATTTAGGCATGGCTGGGCATGAGTTTGCCCATGGGGCAACACTGGGTTTCTGAAAAAGAAGACAGTGAGTTTCTTGTAGAAAATCCCCTCTGCACAGGTACCCATCACCAAATATGCTTGCTGTGCCAGATGCAGAGAAAGGCCTTAGCAGGTCCAGCCTTCTGGCTTTGGTGTGGCCTGCTGTGGTGATGGAGCCAGTAGTGCTCTAGCCAAGGCCAAGGGCCCTTTACCAAGGTCTTCCATCCCTTTCCTTTGCAGACTATGGGCGGAAACCTCTCTGGGAAAGCCCAGAATGCATCCAAAGGGATCTATGCAATGGCCTGTAAGTAGTATGCTCTGCTGCAGTGGGCTTGGGCACATGAAGCAGGTTGCTCACTTAATCTGTGATCTCTCCCATAGCCCACGATGTCTTCCTCCTGAAGAATCAGCCCCGTTACCGGAACCTGGGCCTGGAAGTCTATGTGACATTCTTTGAGATTTATAATGGGAAGGTAGCTGCTCTGTCTCTGCTGTCAGGGGGCCCGGAACTCTAAAACCTTGAAGTTGGCTCGGAATGGTAGAAGCCAAACACTGTGGGCTGTGTAGCTTTTGGGCTACTTTGCCCTTACATGTCAGAGGCGGGGGGTTATCTGATGGTGGGATAGTAATCACACTCAACAAGTATGGCAGGACTACTCAGCTCCTTCTCAGATGGGCGGTTTGCCCTGTGTGTGCCTTGTGCTCCCCTCGACCCACCTCCTTCATAACTCTTTTTCCTTTGATCATGTGTGTGTATTCTCATACTCATATTCACCCTTCCTCTCTCATTTCCAACCCTCCGTCTGTGTGTGTGTAAATAAACAAATAAATACATATACATCTCATGTTTTGGCATAGTTGTCTTCCTCAGAGTGGGACCTAGATAATAATAATAGCTAATGTTGATTATTAATATGTGCTAACCACTATTCTAAGCACTTGTTTCAATTCATTTGTTAATCACAACACCCTACAAGGAAGTATTACTGTCACTATTCTGCAGATGAGAAATAAGCCTAGAATGAGTGGTTAAGTACTATTCAGGCTCACACAGCTCGTAAAGTAGCAGAGTTGCATCAAATTGAGGCAGCTGGATTCAGAACCCACGCCCTCTGTTAGTCTACCTAACTCAGCCTCTGTGTGCCCTTCCTCCTGCCTGCCCTTGCCTAAGCTGGGACAGTCCCTGGTGGAGGGAGGGGGCAGGTGGGCTGCCCAGTGCTTGATGGCCTTCCCCTTGTTCCCCTGCCTGGCACAGCTGTTCGACCTGCTCAACAAGAAGGCCAAGCTGCGCGTTCTGGAGGACGGGAAGCAGCAGGTGCAGGTGCTGGGACTGCAGGAGCACCCGGTTAACTGTGCTGATGATGTCATCAAGATGATTGACATAGGAAGTGCCTGCAGGTCAGAATTCTGGCAAGGGGAAGGGGCCACTTCCTAGTGCCCAATTCAGGTTGACAAAGATTAGCTCTGAGCACAGTGTGGTTCCACAGAGGCCCACTTTCTCCAGCTTGGGGAGGGCTGTGAAGGCCTCTGCAATAAGGGGTCTCAAAGAGGCTCACCAGGAGCGACTCAAAATGTCTTAAATCTAACCAAGGCGGGCTTTATTCCCGGCCTCTCACTCCAAAGGCTTGCTTCCTGACTTCTCTCTTTACCGTTCCTTCCCTCTGTGATGGAAGACAGGAACCCTGGGTCTGTCCTAGGCTGCAAGGGCTGGGGCCACGGCCTCTGTGCAGAGGTGGGGAAGTGGCACGGGCGTGCTGGGCAGCTTATGGAGGCCCAGGGAGCAAGCTGCCCTCCGCAGGGCCCTCAAGTTCTGGCAAATGGTTCACGACAACCTCTCCTTCCCTTTGTGCCTTGCAACAGAAGTAGCTCATCTTTCCCCATGTCCTTATGGGTCCCAGGTCTGGCCAAGCCCCTAGCATAGAATCCAATATTGGGGCTGCCAGGAAAACATACAAGGTCTACAGCTGGAGGGAGAGCTTCTGCCCAGGGAAGGCAGAACAGAAAGTGGGGACAAAAATACAGGACGACTTAGACTCCTGACCTGTGTCCTGCTTTGAACAGGGAACTCACTGCTATGGCCTGGGGTGCTATGGTGGCTGGTGACTTCAGGAGCTCATAGCTTTTCTTTGTCCTCCTTTACCACAGGACCTCTGGGCAGACATTTGCCAACTCCAACTCTTCCCGCTCCCATGCCTGCTTCCAGATTCTTCTTCGAGCCAAAGGGAGAGTGCATGGCAAGTTCTCTTTGGTGGATCTAGCAGGGAACGAACGAGGTGCAGACACTTCTAGTGCTGACCGGCAGACCCGCATGGAAGGCGCAGAAATCAACAAAAGTCTCCTGGCTCTGAAGGTAGTAGGGGCTAGCTAGAGGAGGCTGGTCTGGGGGACGGCTGGTGGAGGGAGGAAGTGGGCAGCATGAGAGGAAGGAAAGGACCTTAGTTGCACCTGCTGCCTCACAGGAGTGTATCAGGGCCCTGGGACAGAACAAGGCTCACACCCCATTCCGCGAGAGCAAGCTGACACAGGTGCTACGGGACTCCTTTATCGGGGAGAACTCAAGGACCTGCATGGTGAGTAGGGGTGCTTTTAGTCCTGTCCTAGGTAGGAGGCCTGGTGCCCTTGGCTCTCTGGATTTCTGGGCTCTAACTTGACTGGACTTCACCCTGTATTTCAATACCAGGCTCCCCTTTGACTACCCAAGAAGTGGGGAAAGGAGGTACTCCCATTACTGTATGTCCGTGCCATTCTGGGTTTGGGGGAGGTCATTCCTCCCTTACCTGGTGGAAAGGAAGCTACAGAATCCGGAAGGCAGACCTTTGGGGGAGCCAGAGAGGAAGTCCTGGCTTCCGTGGCTTTCCCTTAGCTCAGTTCCTTGGCTCACAGCCTAGAAAATAGGAAAGGGCTATGGCCCTGAGTGGCTTTTTGTCCCTTCTTATCTCTAAGCCCTTCTAGCTAGAGTCTGCCCTAACTTCCCTGGAGGGAATATCTTCTCCCTGGTCTGCTGGGGAAGATAGGGATTTCTGACTAAGCTCTAAACCCTTCTCCCTGAGACATTATCCCTGAGCCTGGGCAACTGAGGGTTCCAGTAGGAGCCACAGAGCCTTAAGGTGTGACCTTGGTTTGAGGAATGGGTCAGTAAAGAGATAAAGAAGGAGGGGGGTGATAAGATATGCTTTTAAAGGCAGGGAATCAATTTTTTTAAATACTTTTCATACTTTTTAAAAATTGCATTGAGAGAGAGAAGAAGGGGGAGAGAGACATTAATTTGTTGTTCCACTTATTTATGCATTCATTGGTTGCTATTTGTATGCGCCCTGACTAGATATCAAACCTGCAACCTTGGTGTATTTGGATGACACTCTAACCAACAGAGATACCCAGCCAAGGCAGGAATCAATTCTTAAAGAGCCTTAATCTGCAGTGCCCATGTTGCCTTGCACAGAGTGGGTGCTAAATGAGCTCTCCCTTCAATACCATGTGGGTGTCAGCAGCCTGGAGAAACTCCTGGCAGCCTCTCCCCATGGTCCCCAACCTCTCTCTCCCCATGATCCTCGACCTTTCACCACCCATTCCCTCTTTTGCAGATTGCCATGATCTCACCAGGCATAAGCTCCTGTGAATACACTTTAAATACACTAAGATACGCAGACAGGTACCAGTACCTATGGCCAGGTGGGGTGGGGAACAGGGTGTGGGAGTGGGAAAAAGAATGGCAGTGATGAAAGAGGGAGGAGGCTCTGGGGTTAAGTGCCTACTATCTAGTCGTCTGTGATTCAGTGAACCTGAGGCTTGGGAGTTCGGACATGGTGCTAGGTCTGTGCCAAACCCTCCAGGCCCCGGTAGGGAGACAGCATGCATTAGGGTCCTTTCATAGGCCAAAGGCAAAGCTGCTACTCCATCCCCTTGAAGCCTCAAACCTGACAGTCTTTTTTTAAAAAGACTATTTATTTTTAGAGAGAGGGCAATGGAGAGAGAAAAAGAGGGAGAGAAACATCAATGTGTGGTTGTCTCTTGCACGCCCCCCTGCTGGGGACCTGGCCCGCAACCCAGGCATGTGCCCTGACTGGAGTCGAACTGACGACCCTTTGGTTCGCAGGCCAGCGCTCAGTCCACTGATCCACACCATCCAGGGCTGATAGTCTTAAGTGGTACAGCATTCTTGTGAATGCCAAGGAGCTTGCTATGGAATCCAATACCTTCTTGTTTCCTCAGGGTCAAGGAGCTGAGCCCCTACAGTGGGCCCAGTGGGGAGCAGCCAACTCAGATGGAAATAGAAGAGACAGAAGCCAGCTCTAATGGATCCCTGATCGCAGACAATGTAAGGTGCAGGGTGGGGCCAAGCAAGACAAACATGGCCTGCTGAGATGGGAACTAGGCCATACTGTGTATCTTTCCTTTTGGCCCCCTTAGTTTTCCAAGGAAGAAGAGGAACTGTCTTCCCAGATGTCCAGCTTTAATGAAGCCATGACCCAGATCAGGGAGCTGGAGGAGAGGGCCGTAGAAGAGCTGAAGGAGATCATACAGGTGGGAAGCTGGCCCTGGCCAGGGAGGGACTAGATATCCCCCCTGGCACAGGCCTGCAAGTGTGCTCAGCACCATTCCTTGAATGTGACCTGGGCTTTGTTCCCACAGGTCCTCAGGTTGGCATGGCAAGAGGCAACCCTCTACCCCCACATTCCTTAATTCTCTACTTATTCATCCATCTGCTCTTGTAAGGCAGCTAATACCACATCCTCTTCTTTAGTCTGGCACACACAAGCTTTCCTCCATCCTTCTAGCTGGAGCTAGTCTTGCTCAGCCATGCTTCTGATTGGGGCTTTTGGAGGGTGGTTTACATGCAGGGACCTCGTTATTCAGTGAATGTCCAGTGAGTACTTTTTATATGCCAGCTCCTGTACTGAGACCAAGGACCAGAACTATGAAGTATGGATAGTAGACCCTAAAGAAAGACTTGATCAACCCTGATTCTTCTATTTACGAGCCAATTTCCTTGTGAAAGTCATTTAGTCTCACTAGGCCACAAACCAAAGGGTTGCTGGTTTGATTCCTGGTCAGGGCACATGCCTGGGTTGCAGGCCAGGTCCTTAGCAGGTCCCCTGCAGGTCCCCAGTTAGGGGGGTGCCAAAGATAACCTATTGATGTATCTCTCGCACATTGATGTTTCCTTCCCCCTCAAAAATAAATAATCTTCCCCCCCCCCCCCCATTGGCCTTATGGTTCAACCAGAGGCCCAGACTTTGTTATGAGGGCAGTGGATGCCCTTGAAGGGAGTTAAATGGAGTGGTGCCGTGGCCGTATGAGAGCTTTGGGTACATCATTGTAACCACAGTGTGCAGTCTGGTTTGGGGACATGGGGAGAGTGTAAATGGAGGCATCTGGGAGGTGAGAGCTGTTAGGAGATCGTTGGTAAAAGAGGTGTTGGTGCCTAGACTGAATGTAACAACGACCATGGTATTGGAATAAGGGCATGAGATTCAAGAACCATTTAAAGAGTGGACTTGATAGGATTTAGGGACAAGAAAGGTGAAAGAAGCCCTGGCTGGTGTGGCTCAGTGGATTGAGCACCAGCCTGTGAACCAAAGGGTCACTGGTTTTGTTCCCAGTCAGGGCACATGCCTGGGTTGCTGGCCAGGTCCCCAGTAGGGGGCATGTGAGAGGCACACACATTGATGTTTCTCTCCCTCTCTTTCTCCCTCCCGTCCCCTCTCTCTAAAAATAAACACTTTTTTTTTTTTTAAGGTGAAAGAATAAAGTTGTTGCTCAGATTTTTGGCTTGGGCATCAAGACAGATAACAACATTCAATGGATATGATAGGGACAGGAGGGGGTATAAGGGGATTAAATGGTAATGGGGGGAAAATACAAACAAACAGACGAGGACATGTCTGGGGTAGGGGAGAGGATGAATTCAGTGTGGGCACTCCTGCAAGAGTCAGGAGGTAGGGTGTGGGCCAGGCCTGGAGGAGTGGGCTCCTTGTATGGGCATCTGCATTGCAGTAGGGCCCCAGGAATGATTTGCTAAATCGGTGTGGTCGCTGTTTGAACTAACAAGGCCATCCCTGTGTCGTTGCAGCAAGGGCCAGGCTGGCTTGAGCTCTCCGAGATGACTGAACAGCCAGACTATGACCTGGAGACCTTTGTGAACAAGGCAGAGTCTGCCCTCGCCCAGCAAGCCAAGCACTTCTCAGCCCTGCAAGGTGGGTGCAGTTGGACGGGACACAGCAGGATGGGGCGTCTGCAGGTTACGGCAGCTCTGCCCTGAGGGGATGGGACCTCTGAGACACCCACTAACCCCGAGTGTGCTGCCTCCCCTTCCTTCTAGATATCATCAAGGCCTTGCGCCTGGCCATGCAGCTGGAAGAGCAGGCCAGCAAACAAATAAGCAGCAAGAAACGGCCCCAGTGACAACTGCAAATAAATGATACTTGGTTTCACACCAGCCTTTTCACCACCTAACCCCTCCCCAGTGAACTTTGGGCTCAGGTTCTGAGCTGGAACAGGCTTTGATAAATGCCAAGCATTGGGGCATCAGGGCCAGGGCAGATGGGGAGGGCATCAGAGTGACAGGGACACTTTTGCCTCGACTGTAGCCTTGAAGGGAGCAAGGATGGGAGAATGGGACTTTCAGATATCCTGTGTGGCCCTTCTCTCCCAGTGGGGAAGCCTTGTTGGCATCGAGTGTTCCCTTGTCGGCCTTCTGCCTGTGGACTGGCCGCTGGTGGAGGGCTGCTGGGGTTGTCCTGGCTCTGGGGACGGGGACGGAGTCTTTAGTACAGCTCCGCTGGCTGTGGCCTGCCATCCACACCCTTGGTCTGGCTACTAATATGTCTTGTACTTTAAAAAGGTTTCTAGAACCTCTTCCTCCCTTGATGTTTTTTGAGATCCAAGAGGATCCCTTCTGTCTTCTGTTTTGTGTTTATACGTTGTGTCTAACAATAAAGAAAGAGGAAAAAAATCAGTCTGTTGAGTGGCGTGTGGGAAGGGCCTGGGAAATGACTGAACCTTCTGGAACTAAGAACACTACTGCAACTCTGTGTGATGCTGGTTCTGTCCTCTACCTGGGAAACCGAATCCACACCTGCAGTTAAGTGACATGTTGAGGATCCAACCCTGTCTTGTTCAGTGATGCTTACTAGGTCCCAGGTCCTGTCCTGGGAACAGGAACCGTAAGCAGAAAGGAGATGGTGCCTTGTCAGTTACAGCTGACTCAACACATGTTAGATTCTGTGGGGCTTTCACTGCCTGTGAAGCTGGGGAGATCCCAGCTGGCCAAGGACATCAGATTGCGTCTTCCTGACCCTCTGACCCTCAATAAAATGGTTTGACCCTCCCTCCTGCCAAAAAAAAAAAAAGATACTGTGGGAACACTGACAAGAAAGCACTCAGCTTGCTACATGGGAAAGCATTCCGATTTGGTCTTGAAAAATGAGAAGTTTCCTGATTAGATTGAAGGACCAAACATAGGGTATGGGCAGTTTGGGGACTGGAGGACTACAGATTTAGTGTCTGAAGCATGAATTACATAAGTGGTAACGTGCCACTAAAAGGTTTTTTGCCTCAGGGTCACACAATCAAATGTTTTAGAAAGGTCTCAGAGAGACAGGCAGGGAGCAGGGGGCACATGGGCTCCTGCAGAAACTCAGAGAAAGGTGGGGCTGAATAGATCAAGCTCTGGCCCTCTAAGCCTTGGCTACTTCATTTGTAAAATAGGGTATTCTCTGCCTTATGGTGAGAATACATGAACTTGAGGTACAATTAAATAACCAATTCAGCTGGATTCAGAAATTCAGCTGAATCAGATGTTTGACAGAACTGGCACTAGCTCTAAGGTCTTTAAAGCTTCCAAATAACCTTTCACCCTCATTTGTAAAATGTGGCCACCAGTACCAGCCTCATGGAAATGAAAAGAGGAAATGAAAGAATGCCACCAGCCTAATGTGGCTCAGGGGACTGAGCACCAGCCTGCAAACCAAAGGGTCGCCAGTTTGATTCCGTCAGGGCACATTGCCTGGGTTGCAGGCCAGGTCCCCAGTTGGGGGCTTACAAGAGGCAACCACATATTGATGTTTCTCTCTCCCCTCCAGTCCCCTTTCTCTAAAAATAAATCTTTAAAAACATGTCACGAGCCCAAGCCTGACCACCTTCTCATGTGGAGTACCATCTGAGTCCCTAACTGGTCTCCTGTTTGAATTAACTCCCATGACCTATTCTCCCCAACCAGCCAAGGAAATCTGTACGTTATTCCCTGCTTGGAAACCCTTAATAGCATCCCTCTGCACAAAGGTTAAATTCTGAATGTCCCCCCTGGCTGGTGTGGCTCAGTGGCCTGAGCGACAGCCTGTGAATTAGAAGGTCGTCGGTTTGATTCCCAGTCAGGGCACATGCCTGGGTTGCAGGCCAGGTCCCTTGTTGAGGGTGGGCAAGAGTCAACCAGTAGATGTATCTCCCACATCAATATTTCTCTCTCCTCCCTCCCTTCCCCTCTCTCTAAAATAAATAAAATCTTTAAAAAAAAAATTCTAAATGCCCTACCATGGCATATTAGGCCCTGCCCAATCACCTCTTATCTATTGGTCCAGTGGAAATGTAATTTGGGCAGAACAGTTTGGTAGCTAAAAACCCAGCTTGTGAAGCCACACTGCAGGGTGGGATCCTAGCTCTGTGACTACAGAACCTTCAGTGGGTTGTTTAACCTTTTTGTGCTGTCTGTGAAGTGGGAATACTGGTATGGAATCATGAATATTGAGTTAATATACATACAGCAGTAAGTACAATGTCTCACATTTAGTAAGTTCTAGCTATTTAGGCACATAAGAACAAAGATTTTTGTTAACATTTAATCCTGTATCAACAATGTCTAGAACAGAGTAAGCACACACAATGTTTTTGAATGAATGAATACATCCACTCACTGTTCTCCAATCACACTTGCCTTTATTTCTTGAATATGTCAGGGTTGTTTTCTTTTAAATAACAGCTTTTTTGAGATGTAATTCACATAGTATAATATTCACCCTTTTAAAGTGTACAGTTCAGTGGTTTTTAGTATACTCTAATTGGGCAACTGCCCTGGCTTGTGTAGCTGAGTGGATTGAGTGCTGGCCTGTGAACTGAAAGGTCTCCGGGTTTGATTCCTGGTCAAGGCACATGCCTGGGTTGCAGGCCAGGTCCCCAGTTGGGGGCATGCAAGAGGCAACCAGTCAACCAGTCGATATATCACTCGACGATGTCCCTCTCCCTCTTTCTCCCCCACTTCCCGTCTCTCTAAAAATAAATAAAATCTTTAATTGGGCAACTATCACCACTAAAATTCCAGAATGTTTTCATCACCCAAAATGAAACCCCATGCCCATTAGCTTTCACCCCCAATTCCCTTTTCCCCCAGTCCTAGGAAAGCACTATTATTTCTCTATGGATTTCTTTATTCTGGACATTTCATATAAATGGAATCATACAATGTGTAGTCTTTGTGTCTGGCTTCTTTGACTTAGCATGTGTTCTGAAGGATCATGTAGCATGCATCAGTACTTCATTCCTTTTTGTGGTCAAATAATATTCTATTGTATGGATATGTCTTCTTTTGTTTATTCATCAGTTGAACATTTTGGGTTATTTCCACTTTAGCATTATGAGTAAGTCTTTCAGGCTAGGAGCATCATGTACAAGTTTTTAAGCATATGTTTTCAATTCTTGGGTATATCCAAGTCCTTCAACCATTTTTAAATTGGATTGTCTTTATTGTTGACTTTTAAGAGCTCTATATATTCTGGATACTAGACTCTTATAAGAGATAAAATTTGCAAATATTTTCCCTCATTCTGACCTTGGCTGAGTATCTCAGTTGGTTAGGGTGCCGTCCTGATGCACCAAGGTTGCAGGTTCTTTCTCCCGGTCAGGACACACACCAGAGGGAACCAATGAATGCATAGGTGAGTGGAACAAGTGGATGTTTCTCTCTCTAAAAATTAATAAAAAATAGATAAAAATATTTTCCCTTATTTTGTGGGTTGTCTTTCACTTTCTTGATCATATCCTTTGAAGCACAAACGTTTAACTTTGATGAAGTTCCACTTACCTTTTTTCTATTGTTGCTTGTGCTTTTAGTGTCATATCTCAGAATCCATTGCCAAGTCCAAGGCTATGAAGGTTTATGTTTTCTTCTAAGAATTTTATGGCCTTATATTTAGGTCATTGATCTATTTTAATTTTTGGACGTGATGTGAGGTAGGGGTCTGAATTCATTCCTTTGCATGTGGATATCCAGGTTTGCCTGTACCATTTGTTGATAAAACTAATATTTTCTTGCCCTGGCTGGTGTGGCTCAGTGGCCTGAGTGCCAACCTGTGAACCAGAAGGCTGCCAGTTCGATTCCCAGTCAGGGCACATGCCTGGGTTGCGGTCCAAGTCCTCACTTGGGGACTTGTGGTAGGCAACTGATGGATGTATCTCTTGTACATTGATGTTTCTCTCCCTTTCTCCCAACCTTCTCCTCTCTAAAAAAAAAAAAAATATATATATATATATATATGTATATGTATATGTATATGTATATGTATATGTATATGTATATGTATATATACCTGTGTCCTGGTTAGACTGTGGGTGATGGAGTAATTTGGGAGATCACTTTTTAAGGTGACTAATGAAAAAAGGGCCAAAGGCATAATATGATCAATGTTAATGGTCTCAAAGCAAATGGAATGGTGGCCAGCTGGAGTACTACAGGGGAGCAGAAGAGAGGCTCTCTCCAGGATGACATGGAATTACACAGCCCCTATTCCTGGGTCTTCCAGTCCCTGGTCAGAAATTTAGATTTTACTGCAAATGTGCTGGAACGCCACTGGCAGGTTGAAGATACAGAAGAAGGGATAATGTTAGAATCCCTCCCAATGAATGGGACAGGATCTGGAGTAAAAGGGCCTATTCATCCAACACAACTTTAAAAAACTTTTCAAAGAAGTTTTAAAAAACAGCCCTCTGCTTTGTGTTCCTCTTCAGCCACCACCCTAATTCTCCCCTCTTTAAACTTCTCAAAAAATTATCTACCTATACTGTATTTTTTAATTTCCCCATTTCAAGTTTTTGAAAAATACTAATCAAATTTTTGTTCACTGCACAGAAACTACTCTTGCCAATGCCACTTAATAATCTAATAATCACTTTTAGTCTTCCTTTTTTTAAAAAAAAAGTTGTATTTATTTATTTTTAGAGAGGGAGAAAGGGAGGAAAACACTGATGCAGGAGGGAAACATCAATCAGTTGCCTCTCATACACGCCCGGACTGGGGAGAACCTAGGCATGTGCCCCAGCTGGGAATCGAACCAGCAATGATCCCCACCTGGGCCACACCAGTCAAGGCTTAGTCTTTTAACTAGACAGCACAGTAGCCTAAGACCATGACATGACCCTCACCCTGTCTCACTCTAATTGCTCCTCTGGCTTCTTGGCCAGCTTCTTTTCTCTGCCTGGCCTTAAATGTTGCCATTCCTCAAGCCTTGAACCTAGGCCCTCTTCTTGTATTTCTTTTAATTTTTTTTTCTTTTTGCATTTCTTTACGGCAGATGTTGGCAAACTACTCTGCATTGAATGAGCCCATGAACTTATGTTTGTGTTTGAAAAAAAATTCCAAAGCATATTTCATGGCAAATCCCAGTATCCATAGTTTTATTGGAGCACAGCCACATCTATTTGTTTATCTTTGTCTATGGCTGTGACACAGACACTATAGCCCACAAAACCTAAAGTACTTATCCTTTAGAAGGAAAGTCTGCCTTAACCTGTTTCCCTAGATTACACGCATTCTGGTAGCATTAATTGCCATTTATATACCAATGATTCCCAGAATAACATCTGTCCAGATCTCTTTTATAAGGATAACCAGACATGAACATTCAGTTGTCAGGGAGAGGGAGAATTCCCCTCTTATAGCTTCTTTAATTCTTATGGCTGGACAAGTAACAAAACAATAAAATTGACATAAGGCTAGATTAATAGAAGAAAAAGCAATTTAACGTGCACATGGGAGAATCACAGTATGATGTTCATATAATAAAACGAGGCTCCAATAAATAATCAAACCAGGCATCTTTTAACATTTTTTAGATAATAAATTTGTAAGAAACTGACAGGACAAAGGAAGTTAGTGCTAAGCAAGTTTTGGGCTTGGGTAGTAAATTAGTAAATTAGTAAAAGCCAATGCTTATTTGCACAGACCGTTCAGCTCTGAGCTGTTTATCAGTAAGGGGTGTCTTTCAGGTGCAGGGAGAACAACTTTCACATGGGAGATTTATTTCCTGCATTCAAGGAGACAAGGGAGAGTCAATGTGCCCTTCTGCTTGGCAAGTAACTTTAAAGTAACCAATATGCCATTACGTGATTACATTGGGGTGGCTTGGTTTGGGCCCCTACATTGTCATTCCCACTTACACAAGTCACCAAGATCTCAAAACATGTCCAGCACAGCTCCTACCTTAGCCTACCCACCCCACTTCAGTAAAAATGGCCCCAATATTCATCCAACTGTTAAGTGAGTTATTGGAAATCCTATACACATCTCCCTCTCTTTAAACTCCTACATCCAATTTCTCACCAAATTCTTTCATCTTACCGTCTTTCACCCTCGTCCAACGCATCCGCAACCACATCTCTCATCCCGGACCACTGAAAAAGCTTCTAAAACGAGTCTTTTCACAAGGTAAACAAAGCCAGGCTACTCTCCTTTGGTGGTGCCCTAGACACAGTCTTCAACCTGCAGCAAAGCTTACACAGCACATGCCGCGAGACTCCCCAACCCAATCTTTCCCTCGGACTTCAGAGCTCAGAAGAGCCTACTAGGCCCGGGGAGCTCTTGCGCGGTCGCAGACTCTAGCCACTGCAGGCGTTTCTACGGTCCCGTCGCAAAAAACGTCGTAACTGCATCGCAGTTTCAACGTTTACGGCGGGACTGCGTTTTACAAACCGGACTGTGACTCCTTCCGTTCTCTCTTTCCAGCCGGCGCCAAGCCATGGGTGAGTTTAGCTTTGTGACGGGGCCCGGGTAGGGGAGCGAGATCAATCCGGTACCATCCTGCCTCGCAGCCAAGTTAGCAGAGTCAGCGTCCCGATTCTCAGCAACGAACAGCCATGAGGATGGTAGTGCCCGGGTTTGGGCTGCCGAGGCTGGCTCTGGAGCCCGCAAGAAGGGCCCGAGCCGAGGCGGCCGGGGCACCAACATGGCTGCCGTGTTAAATGGTCCGGGCTGGGCAGCACGCAAATGATGACACTTTAGTACTGCTGCAGACTCCCGAATGCTCAGTGGGGAGGCCAACCTTGGAGAACTGAGTGTGCGGCCCGTCCTGCGCCGGGGCTTGGACCTGGCGAGGGCCGCCCCTCGTCTCAGTGGTTCAAGCCTCCGTCCCTGCTCCCACATACAGGCATTTCTCGGGACAACTGGCACAAGCGCCGCAAGACTGGGGGCAAGAGGAAGCCCTACCACAAGAAGCGAAAATATGAGCTGGGGCGCCCTGCTGCCAACACTAAGGTGCGTGCGGGTGCTTCACCTTAGTGCGTCTCCGTGGTTCGTGGTGCGGACTCTGCGCATGGCTGTTGAATCTCGCAGGGGCTCCGGAATGTTCTGGGGCTGAGCGGCATCCTCACGTTTACTGGTTGGGTGAATCCTAAAGAGACTGCACGGAGACGTGGTGTGTGTTAGGATTGAAGGGAGCAGGCTCCGCAAATTATAATCAGAAGGCTGGTGTTTTTGTTGCGTGGACACTTGATTTACAGTGTTTGAAACCAAGTTGTTTTTCCCCCCCGTTCCGTTGGAGGTAACTAGTGATGAAGAAAATACCCTTAGGCGTGGCGTGGCCGTCTTGGTCACCTATGTGCCACTTGCCAATGCTAGGATTTGTCATAGTTACACTGACTGTTGCCTCCATCCAGCCCAGGTTGATTTTTCCTCTCATCTTAGCTTTTTTCATAACGTAGTTTCTGTCTCCTTGTTTTCTAGATTGGCCCGCGCCGCATACACACAGTTCGTGTGCGAGGAGGCAACAAGAAGTACCGAGCCTTGAGGCTGGACGTGGGCAACTTCTCCTGGGGCTCAGAGTGTGAGTGAGGCCCCTGTGGAGGGGGGCGTAACTCAGCACCCAAAGCCTTCTAAGCTTCAGTAGGTGCTTTTAGCAGGAAGGTCCATGGCCTCCACTGAGAAACTGAAGTTTCTTCTTGAAAGACCCTGGGGATGTAACCAGGGAGGAAGGGGAAGAGTCTAGAGACTATGATGTGTGGTTGTCAGCCACCTGTGGAAAGATGGGTTTGTAGATGAGCTGATGCCCTGTGGCTGGGTAAAGGCGTAGAGTAGGCCCTGTTACTGTTATAGGGTGGGGGTGGGAAGGCAAGGCCAGTTAGCCTCCGGTTTACATAGCTTGATTCTGAATTTTTCCTGTAAGCAGGTTGTACACGCAAAACAAGAATTATCGATGTTGTCTACAATGCATCCAACAATGAACTGGTCCGTACCAAGACCCTAGTAAAGAACTGCATCGTGCTCATTGACAGCACACCGTACCGACAGTGGTACGAATCCCACTATGCACTGCCCCTGGGCCGCAAGAAGGGGGCCAAGCTGGTACGTATTTGGGGAGCCAGCCTCCCTATAGGGATGGGGGGAGGGCAACCTGATTCCAGCCTTCTTGTGATGAAAATTCCGTCCAGTTCTGCTACTGAAGGGAGAGAGATGAAAGCCTTTAGTGCTGAGGAAGGCAGCAGGAGTTGGGCTGTGTGGGGTTTGAGGCCGTGGTGGCATTCCTTCCTGAGTTAGGATTTGGGGACCCCCAGCCAACCTATCTGTGTCTCCTTTATTCAGACTCCTGAAGAGGAAGAAATTTTAAACAAAAAACGGTCAAAGAAAATTCAGAAGAAATATGATGAAAGGAAAAAGAATGCCAAAATCAGCAGTCTTCTGGAGGAGCAGTTCCAGCAGGGCAAGCTTCTCGGTAAGGTGGCTGTTGCATTGGGATAGGGGGGTGGGTCACAAGATATGGTGTGCCCACTACATTTTACCCTTACTTTAGTCCTTCCGACAACCAGCCGTGTGGTCTAGAGGGTCCACCACAACAGTTTAGTGATAAATGTACAAATACAAATCAACATTTGGTTAACCCATTAGTGTGAAGCTAAAATACTGAATTATGGGCATCTGCCTGTGAGTTTCAGGAGCAGTATTTTGAGAAGTCAGAGTCTAGGCCAAGGGGACTGTCTCAGTGATGAAAACTTTGTCCAGTTCTGCTACTGATTTTAAGTGACGATAAAGTATATCTGAGGAGACAGCAAGTTTCATGCCTTCCCCTAGGATACCTGAACCAATGGGGGTTTTCTTAAGAGCACATAGGTAATGGGTAGGGCCAAGTTATTATTTTGCTAAGGACCACATACTCTCTTGCAGCATGCATCGCTTCAAGACCAGGCCAGTGTGGCCGAGCAGATGGCTATGTGCTAGAAGGCAAAGAGCTGGAGTTCTATCTGAGGAAAATTAAGGCCCGGAAAGGCAAATAAATCTTCTCTCCTTTGTTTAAAGCTCACGATAAAAAAACAAAAGGCTCGCGTAATAAAGGTGTTCATTCTTATGTTGTCTGGATGCTTGATCAGCATGCTGTAGCGTACCCCAATTACTTCTCCCTGAAGGCCAGGTCTATTAAGTAGGCTGTGCCTTAGTATACCGTATTTTGCTGTGTATAATGGGCACCTTTTTGCCCAAGTTTTTGAGGGAAAAGTTAGGATGCGCATTACATGTGGGAAGTTACTGTTACATAAAACTTATTGTACCGTAACATGTTCAAAAATAAATGCTAAAATTTATTTTCAATACAAAAAACAAGTATCTAGATAATTGAAAAATTCAGAACGATTCTTTCCTGAAAGTTTGGGCCAAAAACGTGGGTGGGCATTATACACGGTGAGATGTGGTACTAGGGGGACCATTTCTCACCCCAAAGAAGGGACAAGGATGTGGCATGTAGGCCAAGCAGAGAGCACTGAGGCCCCCAACGATATTGCAGTGTTAATGGACCGAGACTGAACCAATGTTGCATCCAAAGTGGGTTCTTTCAGCCCTGACTGGTGTGGCTCACTGGGCTGGGTGTTGTCTTGCAAACCCAAAAGATCACCAGTTTATTTCAGTCAGGGCATCTGCCTGGGTTGCAAGGCCAGGTCCCCAGTAGGGGGGCATGTGAAAGGCAACCAATTCATGGGTTTTTTTTTTTTTTCTCCCTTCCCTGCTCTAAAAAAATCTTAGAAAGATCTGTACCCTTTGGACCTTGTTTTTTATTTCAGAGTTTTCAGCCTGGGTTCCTGGGTGATCTAGAAATCTTGAACTTTGGTCCAAATTTGTGTTGTTTTAAGCAAGTTATAATTTTCTCTTGAGCCCTAATCCCTTCCCCCTCACTAAAAAGTATGTTAGATTACCAGTGATTCGTGCATTGCTAAATCTGAGGGTTGGTTCTTTGTCTTCAGTTTGGTTACATTGTCTTTGTCACCCTAGTGAGTTGTCTGACCACAGAATTTTAAGTTGCAGTCCCTTCCAAACTGTTCTTTGCCTGTTTATTTTCCCCCTATCCTGGCATTAGTTTTGTTTGCTTGTCTGTTTTGCCCTATCTTGGAATATAACATTCGGGGGACAGGGATATTTGTTTCCTGCTGTGTCTCTAGTATCTGGAGAGGTGTGTAGCAATATGCCAGACACTCAAATGTGTGCTAAATTAATGAGTTCCTGAAGACTTGATCCAATTTAAAGTTAATGGAAAGTGCAAACACATCTTTACAAGTAAGTGCAAAATCCAGTTGGTTCATCTTGGCTAAATTGCAATTATGTGAATAGGCAGTTGGAAAAGGGTGAACTAGAAAATGGACCCCTTTTTTGAGTACAGAAACAAGGACAAAAGTAGTCCTAGCTGGGTGGGTGGCTCAGTTGGGGCGTCATCCTGTGCACCTAAAGGTTGTGGTCAATTGATGTTTCTAAAACCAACAAACATCCTCAGGTGAGGATTTTAAAACATAAATCAACCCAACCCTCTAACCTTACCATTGGTTTTGGGGAGAACTGGCCTCTGCCTTCCTCCCCAGTGAGGGTCTTCACACTCCACCTTAAAAGCTAACGTTTATTGAGAGCTCTGTCGGGTATATCAGAGCAACACTCGATATTTTTGCCCTTTTTTGGGGGGGGGGGGGGGGGGGTACGTGGATCTTGCAGTAAAAACCAGAAGACCCACTAGACAAATTCAAAAAGCTGGAAGCACTACTTTGCCTTTTTAAATTTGAGTTCTGCAAGGCACTGATCTTTATTACTCCTCCTTCACTCTACCTCTAAACCAAAACAGGACCAGTAGTTTCTCTCTAAGGGAGTCTACTGCCTTCACAGACGACTGTTCTTGTCCTAGAGCACGGCTACCCCTCTGTAAATCCAGCAAAGAAAACCTCAGGTACCTTCTCAGTGAGTGTCTATGGAGAGGTGCTATTGTCCACATTATAGAATTGGCCATTTGAAAGGCTTTGAAATGCTCAATATCCCATGATCACCCAGCAGTAAAGCAGCAAAACCAGTATTTAGTCAGCTGACAAGTGACAGAGGCTACACTCAACCTCTTTTTAAACACTCCTGCCTTCCCTCTTAAATCCTGGAATTTGTTATCCTTGGGTCTTTTGTTCATTTTTGACATTCACCAATTCCTTTAGTGAAGGCTGAGCTTAGAAGATGGGAACCTAAGAGGAGCTCAGTTTAGCAATGAGTCCAATCTAGTGCTCTGGGCTGTCTTCCAAAAGGTTCTCTTACCAGAAACCGAGTGCTACCAGCACCCAACTCCCCCCCCCCCCCAGGAGGAGGACTGCAGCTTTCAGCCCTGACATTTACCCACCTCGCGCCCTTTTGGTGGAAGTGCAGAAAGTGTAGCCTCCGTGGTGTCAGGATGACTGAGTGCGCCTCCGAGTTCAATCCGCCTCCAGGGCAGATTCCCAAACCCTTTATCATCACACAGGATGCCAGTTCAATTCTAAACAATTGTAACTGCACAAGTAATACATTCTCATTGTAAACAAAACAAAAAAAATTACAGATAAAGCAAAACTGCCCTACACACACTTTGATCCCTCTTCAGAGTAAGGTATATTCTAAACATCTTACGTTTGATTCAAATTGTGATCCTTGAACTCCGTTCCAGATCTAATGAATCAGAAACGTGGCAGTGGCACCTAGAATTTAAGCCCTTCGGTAAAGCTCCTGCTCAAGTGTGAGAACTGGCCTAGCGCCCGCCCATTGCGGGGCGGGGCGGGAAATGAACCGCACCTGGCTGTAGTCCTCTCTGTCTCGGCCCAGGTATCCTTACATTCTCACTTCCCGAAACCATCCTACCTTCTCCCGCCAAGGTGGACACATTCCCAGCCTTGGCTCAGGCCCTTCCCGCCATCTTCCTCTTCCAAGCTTCGTCCCTTAGTGCCCCGGCTCGGAGCACACAGGAAGTGCCGCTCTACTAGTGCCGGAGGGCAGGATGGGGCACTGCCTGGAAAATGGGCAGTGAGGGGCGGACGCGGGTGGGGTCGGGCCTGGGGGAGGCTGGCAGGGTGGCCCGGCCTGGCTCAGGGGCCTCTGCTCAGGCCTCCCGGGCCTGGTCCCCAGAACCCGCCGCTTCCTGGATGCAGCCTGTGGTCTCATGGTCGCCTCCCTCCTCGGCCCGGGAGCGCAGCAGAGGAGGGATCCGGGGAAGTTCTCGTGCGCAGCCGAAGTTCTGGGGTCAGGACACGGCTGAGCAGCGGGGGTCCACGCAGCCCGCACTGGCAAAGCCAAGCCAAGGAGGGGTGCATCCACCTGCAGGGCCTGGTCGAGGTCGTTTCTCTCGCGGAGGCCGGGCAAATGAGCTTCCGCCGCGGGCCTTCCGGGTGGACTAGCTCTCCAGAGGAAGGCGGGAAGGACCGAGTCCCTGGCGCCCAAAGCATGGGCGGGGACCTGGGGATCGCGTGACGGTTCAAGTCCTGCCTCCTCCAGCGACGGCCACTCACCGCAGTGTGAAAGTGGATCCTAGAAAGGAAGGCCTCACCGATTGGGCCACCGACAGTGTAGAGCGGCTGCGCCGAGCCATCTTCCCAGTACAGGCCCTTCTTCGCGCGAGGCAGTTTCTGCTACAGGTCGACCACAGATAGCAGGGACACCTGGGGTGGGCAGCGAGTCACAAAGATCCTCCTCTCCTCCATACTGGGGCTCTGTCCCCGGACCCCTGCTCACCTGCAAGTTGCAGTCAATGAGCTGATCGGTTTCAAAGTCATCGTCATCCTGATCAAAGGGGTTGATGATCTGTTCAGCGACCTGCAGGTTGTAAGACAGTTTTCTTCTATATCCTCTGTCCCCAAAGTTGGGATGGGCCCTGGGTCCATGTCTCTACAGAGTGTGCCAGCATAACCACCTGAGGTGGCCACCTAGAGTCAGCCAGCATAGAAGAACAGCAGAGCCGTGAGGCACATACATGTCCAGGTCCCCCAGCACTGGCCCTACTCTTGGCCAGGCTCCAGAGGCTTCTGAAGTTTGCAAGACCCTGCCTCTGGCTCCACACACTGGACACCAACCAGGAAGAGGGCAAACAATGAGGATATTGCTATGGTCACCACCTGGAGAAGGGGAAGCTTGGCCGAATGAGACAGGGAGAAATGCTATCCCTGTCCCTAAGGACCTGTGGAGGGGTGTGGGGGTCTCACAGGTAATGAAAACATATAGCAAGGTGTGGCAGCACCAGAGAGAATGGGGTCATCTTCATAGGAGACTAGGGAGGCTTTGAGGATGAGCCCTTGGCTGTTCAGTGGCTGTTCCGTTTCTCACTAGACTAAACAGCCCCAGGGCAGGTACCATCTCTAATTCTTCTCAGGGTCTCACACGCAGTGCGGAACATACAGTAGGCACTGTGACTGGGAGGTGAGAGGCAGTTACCTGGGGGTAGACAAGAGGGATGCTCGTCCAGTCACAGTGAAACAGCTTGCTGCAGTTGGCTCAGTACTTCTTCAGCTCCTAATAGAAGAGTGGGAAGAGGAGGTCGGTGAAGGTGAGGAATGAAAAATGGGAAACAACAGGGGAGCCCAGCACAAACTAGGCCTGGCCGTGGAGGCTCATTCTATTCTCAGAGGTGTTATCAGGCTGGGGTACCTGTGATGGGAAGCAATTTAGCAAAGTCACTGTAAGAACAGAATCTGGAGGCTGAATGTTTGAGTATAGATTCCAGCTTCCCTAATTATTTGTATGACTTGGGCAAATTTCTTTTCCACTCTGTGCCTCAGTTTCCTCATCTGTGAAAGGGGGATGGCAATAATAGATAGAATATACCTTACCCTTGAGCACCTATCTCAAGGACTGTGAGGGCGAAATATGTTAATATAGTCCAGTGCTTCCAACAATGTGCAGTACCTACTTGGTACCATATAAATGCTAAGTATCAAAATCATTATTCCAGCCCTGACTGGTGTGGCTCAGTGGATTGAGCACTGGCCTGTGAACCAAAGAGTCACCAGTTCGATTCCCATTCAAGGCACATGCCTGGGTTGCAGGCCAGGTCCCCAGTAGGGGGTGCTCAAGAGGCAACCACACATAGATGTTTCTCTCCCTCCCTTTCTTCCTCCCTTCCCCTTCTCTAAAAATAAATAAATAATTTTTTAAAAAAAATTATTATTCCAGTTTGCGAAGCTAGGGGAAGGAGGGCAGATGGGACTGCTCCTAGGCTGACCCATTTCCAGGAGTGGGCAGAGAGCAATGCCATCATGATTTGCCCATCCCTCTGGGCCTGGGCTCCTGGGTTGGCAAACCAGACACAGGGGACCCAGTGCTTGTTGAAGTCAGATTTCAGGCTCTCAAACGTTTTTCTCTCTTCCTGAGGCATGAAACCTGCAGTGATAAAGCAGGTGGGGGATAGACTCTGCCTCTAAAAGCTGGGACCCTGGGGCCCTGGAGCTTCCGGTGCTGACAGCGCAGCATGAGCACTGACGCCCGGCTGGCACAGCGGACAAGGGTGCGGCGCAGCAGGCAGCCATGCTGGTCCAGGCTGTGCACCGTGGCCAAGATGACACATATCAGCTGGTCAGGCAGCAGGATGCTTGTATACTGGGCCCACCAGCTGTTCACTGCCAAGGTCACATAGAAACCTGGTTGCCACCAAGGGTAGGGGGAACAGGAAGGGAAGATGGAAGGCTGGGGAGCCAGCTTACCTTGCCACTCAGCCAGACCACCTGGTCCAGGCCACGCTGAACCAAGGCAGAGGGAAGGACACATTTAGCTCTTGCCCTGCCTCGCTGTCAGGAAGAGAGACTCTTCCTCTGGTCCCAACCAGATGTTCTGGGAGGAAGGAATGCAACTCTTCTCAGGTAGAGAAGTGGTGGTTCAAGGTCAGGCAATGGTTAACTCGGAACTCTGCTTCCCATGAGGGTGAGAACCGGGTGTCATATTTCTCTAGCTCCCCTCCAGTGCCCAGAGGTTGGTGATGCCAGGCTGCAGGTAGCATGGGCCTTGTTTGGAGTGAGCATCCAGCAAGTGATGGGCAAATCCTGGCCCCCAGGAAATCCTGGACCTGACACCCAGCTCCTGTTCCTTCCCAGCTTGCTCTGGTTGACCTCCAGGCTGTGCTACTGGGGTAATTCTGACACTCAGAGCTATCAACCCAACCCAAAGATCAGGGAAGACAGTAAGGAACATACCAGGAAGAATTAGAGGGAGTCTTACCCAGGACAAAAGAAAATGGGATGAGGTCCGCAGAGCAGTTGCAATATCGGACCACCTGAGCATACATATGCCTCTGTTCCTGGGTCAGCAGCAGCCTGGGGAAGGTCAAGTGTAGGCCTAGGTTAGAGTGAGGTGGGCAGCCGAGTCTCCCACAGACCAGCCAGCCCTGAGACCTCACCCTCGCACTGGTAGGTGATGCTGAGCAGAGCACACAGAACAATGAAGAGTAGGAACTCTTTGCAGAGGAGCTCATAGATAATTCCCCTCCAATGGAGGAGCAGCCAAGAGAAACCTCCAAAGCGGGCCTCTGCCACTTTGAGGGTGTACTCAACTGCCATGGCCCTGGGGACCAGGGGTAAGAGGTCACAGGAGTTGCCCCCAGAGCTGTCCCTCTTCCCTACTAAGCATTTTCTTTCTGTTTTTTAAGCTGTTTTGTTTTTTAGCAAGAGAGACATAGAGAAACATCTATTTGTTGTTCCATTTATTTATTCATTCATTGGTTGATTCTTGTATGTGCCTGACACGCATACAAGATCAAACCCGCAACCTTGGTATATTGGGACGATGATCGAACCAACTGAGCTACCCAGCCAGGAACTCAAGCCTTCTTCTTAGCTCGCCTTCTCATCACCAAGCTTAGTTCCCCAGGCAACCTCCCTTCAAGTCCGGTCATACGCACCCCAGACTCCACCCTGTGTCAGTAGATAAGGTGAGAGGAAGCTGCAGAGTCCACAAAGCACACCCCCATTCCTTTCAGGACTCAGTGGCTGAGGGCGTGCCAGCTTGGGATGGGGAGCTGAGATCGAGGCTCTCTCATACACAAGGCTTCCCCAGGCTCCTCTTCCCCTTGTAGAGCTAAGAATAACCAGATCTCGAACCGCTAAAAACAGGAGATTCAACTCTAGCCCAGACCCACCACCATCCCTTCGGGTCTTGTTCTCGAAGCTGATAGCTCGTTTCCTGTGGCCGAGGACAGTGTCACCCCCACCCCACACCTGTCTACCTGCTCTGGGCAGCAGCCTACATTGAGGAAGGAGAACCAGGCTAGCTTTCATCCCCACCCCCCATACACACACCGAAGTACCTCCTGGGCCCATTCAATTTGATTGGACTGGGATTATCATTGATGGATTGAAGCTGCCATCCAGCCTCCCCTGGCCCTGGGAATTAGCTATGTCTCTCTACCTCTGCAGGGCCAGGCTGGCCTCTCAGGGATGGAAATGCCATCTGAATTGACCCCACAGCTCACCCAGATGACAACATGTCCTTGAAGTCAGGATGACAGGGATTACTGTCCCACACTGGTCCAGGTGAGAAAACAGATGCATGATACATTGTTACAATCATAACAGCTGCTGATCACAGAGCCCTGACTAAGTGGCAGGCACTGTGCCAGAGGCACGGCTACATCATCCTCTCACAGAATCCTCATTGCAACCCCATGAGGTAGGAATCATCCCTATTTTACAGACGAGGCTCCAAGAGGCAGATGACTTGCCCAAAATCATACGGCTGGGATATGTTGGATGCGGGATTCAAAGCTGGAGTCGATGGACTTCAGAGACTGGAATTGGTCCATCCGGACCTAAACAAGGGTTCATACCCTGGGACCAGGGTCCTGTCACCAGTCACATTGCCAGGCTTCTAGTCCATGCTCTGGGGGGCCTGGCCCAGCCCTTCCCCATTCCCATTCCACGGGCCTGACGAGGCCACAGATCGGGGACTCAGGCCTAGGAATGCAGACCCCTTCAGCCATGTCCGGCATCCTGACTTAGGGGTGCCCAGGATCTTCAGCGGCATTTCCGCTTCTGGGCTTCAATTTCTTCATCTTTCAAACACGAGATAATACCCAAGGCGCCAGCTCAGTTGTCCACCCAGTGCCAAGTTCACCCACAGAAACCCAGGAGTGGAGGTCCCTCTTCTGACCTGTTTGGGGAGCCCCTTCCCCCACACTGTGAACAGGTTCCTCCCCACAAGTGTTTCCTAAACAGAGCCCCAGTTTGGGAGTCAGGCACACCTGGGATTAAATTCCCGCTCTCTGGCTCTTTGTAACCTTGTTCGAGTTACCTACTCTCTGAATCTCAGTTTCCTCCTCTGCGAAACAGGATCGATAACACCTTCCTCACAGGGCAACTGGGAGTGTTCGAAGGAGTGGTCCAGACAGAGCCTGGAGCACCGCAGGCTTGGAGCGTGGGCTGCTATTACCATGAAAAGCCAAATCCCTTTTGCTTCTACTTACCGGTCCTCTGTTGCCTCCCATAACTTGGCAATCTTTCAGAGATGAAGAGACAGAGCTTTCCCCCGATGCCTCACCAGCCTGTCCCCAAGCCAAACGGTGCCAGGGCCTGGTTTTTACACTGGATACACAAGGCCCTCTGAGACGCCCCATGTCATTTTTACCCTGCATCACCAGCCGCAGGTCCTGCTCCTTCCCGCTGTTCCTTCACCATCCAGCTCAGACCCTCCTCTGGGAAGCCTGCTGTGACCTTCCCCCAGGCCACTCCTCAAAACCCTCTGGGTTTTCTCTCCTCTCGCAGCAGGTAATCCTACTGGTCTGTGATCTGCCTGCAGGGAGCTCTCCCCTCCAGCCTGGGAAGACCCTTGAGGACAAGACTGGATCTGATTCATCTTGGTAAAGCTGGACAGGACTTGAACCCAGGCAGGTTTTCCTTTCTTTTTTATTTATTTATTTACTCATTTTTGTCCCTTTTAACCTGAGAGACATCCGGTCCCCCTCCTTCTATCTCATAAAGGATTTCTTGGATGAGCAAGGTCTAGAAACCTATCATGGCCTGAGGAGTTGCATTCTTCCAGGGCCCAGGTGAGATGTCAATATGAGGAGAGAGTAAGGTCTGACCCGGGGAGGATGAGATACCAGCTCTGGGGCCCCGGCCGTGGTGGCCGTGCAGCCCTTTCCCAAGCTCCGATCTGGGGCTTTCCCAGAGCTTTCTGAGCTGCTTATGTCTTAGAGTTGCTTGAACCTCGGAAGCCATGCTCTGGGAGCAGAGGAGCTCGGGGGGCTTCTCTCTGACCGCGGTCCTTGAGGTCAGCCCAGCTGGCTGCATTTCCGTCCTCCACCCCCATCCCCATCCATCGCCCTCACACTTTGCCTGTTACCAGCTCTGGATTACTGGGCAGGGATTTCCCACAGAGCCTCCAATAGGGGTTCAGGACTTGAAGCCTCTGCCAGAGAAAGGGATTGGTCCCCAGGCCTTACCCAGCCCCTTCCACCTGAGTCTGCTTATCTCCCTTCCCAGGCGCTGACAGGTCCCCTTTGGTTTATGGACCAGGAGAGGGAACCAGTCCGCCTGTAAATCATCTGGCCACCCTTCTTTATCATCCTCTAGCTCTTGCCCCTCCTCTCGCCTGGCTCCCTCTCTTCGGTTCCTAACCACCAGTGCCCTCTCCCCTCCTCACAGCCCAGAGCTGGATTTATGGCTTGGCAGTTTACAGCATGGAGTCTGGAGCCAGGCTGGTCAGGTTCAAACCCAGACTCCATTGTGAACTACTTTTGTGACCTTGGGCAAGCCACTTAATGGCTTTGGGCTTAATTTCCCAAGGAGGAGATGGGAATGATCATGCCTATCTCATAGAATTGTTGTGAATGTTAAATGAATTAATATTTACAAAGTGCTGAGAATAGCAAAGCACATGGTAAGTCTGAAATGCTACTGAAGCTATAAGCATCTATCTCTCTTCTCTCCGGTATGGCTTTAGCACTTCCACCTCTGCACCCACCAAGAACTATCTGAGGTCTCTATTGCTGAATCCAATAGCCCTTCCTGCATTCTAGCCTTACTTGGCATCTCTCATTCTGTAAAAAAAAAAAAAAAAAAAAATTTAAGATTTTATTTATTTACTTCTTAGAGAGAGGGGAAAGGAGGTAGAAAGAGAGGGAGAGAAACATCAATGTGTGAGAGAGACATCAATTGGTTGCCTCTTACAGGCACCCAACTGGGGAACCAGCTCGCAACCCAGGCATGTGCCTTGACTGGGAATCGAACCTGCAACCTTTTGGTAAGTCTAAAATGCTACTGAGGTTATACTGAGACCTATACTGAGGCTGTCTTTCAATCCACTGAGCCACACTAGCCAGGGGATTTTTTTTTTTTTAATTGATTTGAGAGAGAGAGAAAAATTGATTTTTGTTGTTCCGCTTAGTTATGCATTCATTGGTTGATTTTTGTATGTTCCCTGACCGGGAGTAGAACCTACAGCCTTAGTGTATTACGAGAGCACTCTCTCACCAACTGAGTTACCCCACCAGGGCTTGCATCTTTCATTCTTGAAAGCCTCCCTTAGTTCTGTGACCTGACACTATCAAGAGATTCTTGATTCTGAGCTGCCGAGTGGGCAAGGAGTGTGGACATGTGCTCACTAGGGGTAGCAGGCCTGACAGCATCCTCTGGGGGCTGGAGATCCAGAAAGCTCAGCAAAACCTCAGCAGGGACAGGGGCTGTGAGAGTCCTGGGGGGAGGAGAAAGGGCACTAGTAAGGGAGACATGGAGACACAGAGCATTGTAGGAGGACAGGCGCAAGGACAGAGAACCAGGAACCCCTAGAAGACTCAGCGAAAGGCAAATGATGGAGTCGGATATCTTGGGTTCAGATCTTAGCTCTGCCCCTTGGTAGCTGCTGGTGACCTTAGGCAAGAAGCTTAACCCCTTGGGTGTCCGTTTCCTCATCTGTGAAATGAGGATAACAACCATAGGCACATCATAATGTTACTGTCAATAAGATAAATGCTGAGCGCCACTGCCTGGTACGTAGCAGGTGCATAAGGCCCGTTAGTGGCAGCATGTGTTACACTGAGGAAGGAGGCAGAGCAGGCCGCCAGGCCCTTCAGTCACAGCACCTGGGAGGACCTCCACTGCTGTCCCGGCTCCCGGAGGAGGGCTCAAGAACCTTGTTAACCCCCCGAGGGGAGAAGATAGTGAAGGGTTACAGAATATGCCTGAATAATAAAATACCCTCAAATATGCCATTTCAGCATATTGATTACTTTGAGCTGCAGGCACTTGAAAAACAGCAACTGCAGAAAGAGGCTTTCCTTGAACTTCCCCTATCTGCCTGAAGACAGATCCTCCAAAAGGAACTCAATTGTCATAAATCCCCCTCCTGGGAGTTTCATCTCATATCACAGGAGAGACAGAAAATCTATATCACATCCAGACAAATTTTGTCACAAACTATCATATCTCCTATCTATCCTTCGATGGGTCTATTCATCTTTCCTAGAAATCATTTACTACACCCTAAGGGGCTTACATTCTCCTTCCCCTCTCCTTACGATGATGTTTAAACATGATTTCTAAGCCACATAGGAGAATGGCTCATTTTTCCCTGGGTATCTCCCATGTACATATAAGTTACACATGTAAATAAACTTGTTTGTTTTTCTTTTGTTAATCTTTTTGCTGAAGAATCCCATCTGAAAAGCTAAGATGAGTAGAGGTAGTTTGGACTCCTCTCCAAAGTCCTAACGTACCCTACCTTAGAATTATGACTGTATTTGGAGGCAGGGCCTTTAAAGATGTATGAAATAGTGTTAAAATGAGGCCTTTAGGTGGGTCCTAATGTGCTCTGACTGGTGTCTTTATCAGAAGAGTTTAGAACACAGAAAAAGATCAGGTGAAGTCAGACGGAGAGGAATGCATCTCTATTCTCAGAAGAAATTAACCTAATCAATGCCTTAATCTTGGACTTCCAAGCCTCCAGAACTGTGAGAAAGTAAATTTCTGTTGTTTAAGCCATCTAGTCTGTGGTATTTTTATATGGCAACCATAGAAAACTAATACTAGTACATTTTGCTTTATTTTTCAAAGTAAAATTGCAATATCAAATATGCCTTTTAAGACTATACATGCCTCATCCCCATTTCCCCTGCGGGTTCGTCCCCTCTGGTCTCAGCACTACAATTTCTCCGGTGGAAAATTGTCAACCTGCAGGATAAAGATCAAATTCCTGAGTCTGGCTCGGAAGGCCTTCCCGCCCACCGTCCTCTCTTACCCCCCTCATCATAGCTACGACTATTTCTCCATATCTCAGGCTGTTTTGGTTCTCCCTTCAGTGGCCATGAAGGAGAAGTAGGCTCTTGCGGGCCTGGTGAGGGATTGTGTGGAATGGCTATACGGAGGGAGGGTGAAATGGAGACAAGACTAAAGCAGGGAGACCAGCAAGGCACCATAGCAATAATCCCGACCAGACAGACTGTGACCCAGGTGACGGTGTGGGGGACCGACGGAGTCAAAGTGGATAGATTTCAGAGATATTTGGGAGATAAAATTGATAGGAATTGGGTACTCAAATATTTGTTGACTTTCTTGACTATTCTTTTTAAAGTAGGCTCTTTAGTTACTTTTCCGTTTACTTCCTTCATAACACTTTAAACAGCCTGCAATTACCCTATTTATGTATCTGTCTGTTATATATTTCCATCATGAAGATTGAAAATTAGAGCCCTGGCTGGTGTGGCTCAGTGGATTGAGCAATGACCAGTGAACTAAGGGGTCACTGGTTCAATTTCCCAGTCTAGGGCACATGCCTGGGTTGCGGGCCAGGACCCCCTTGGGGGGGCACGTGAGAGGCAACCACACACTGATGTTTTTTTCCCTCTCTTTCTCCTTCCCTTCCCCTCTCTCTAAAAATAAATAAGTAAAATCTTTTTTAAAAAGACTGGTCAAGGTTACTGTCCTTTAATAAAAAGACTGCTCAAGGTTACAGTCCTTTAATTTACAATCTTTTTTAAAAAACTATTTTATTTATTTATTTTTAGAGAGGGGGCGGGAGGGAGAAAGAGTGGGAGAGAAACAGCCATGTGTGAGAGAAACGTCACCTGCTGCCTCTCGCACACCCCCAGCCAGATACATGCCCTGCAATTTAGGCATGTGGCCTCACCAGGAACTGAACAGGCTGGTGCTCAATCCACGGGGCCGGGCTTGACTAGTCTTACTCAGACTGTGCTAGGCATTTAGCAGGTGCTGTCAATAAATCTTTGAGAACTGAATGGCTTATGATTGATTCGATCATGGAGTGAGGGCAGAAAGGTGAGCGGGACAAGGCCAGGAGGAGGTATGTGACCCTAGGACAAACTCTCAGAGGGGATAAGACCTCATCTCTCTCTGTCTCTGGCCCGGGGAAGGGTGGGCATGGACCAGGGTTCTAGAGGTCCAGATGGTGCCCGGACCACCTGCCCAATTGTCCATTTCTAGATCTGAGAAAATCCCATTCCCATTCTCCATCTTCTGGCCTGGCTGCTGGCTAAGGGCAGTGGGTGCTTTCAGGGAAAGGGAACGGGGGGGGGGGGGGGGGGGGGGACTCCGCCGGAACCCTCGACCTGCCCCTCGAGTGTGAAAGTGGGTAGCAAAAAATGTGGCCCGGCGCATGGTAAAAACCTTGAATGCCAGACTCTGCTTGGCATTCAAGGTTTTTCCCAAAACTCAACCCCGGGCCCTGCTCCGCTCCCATCCCCCTGTCCCCTGCACAAACCGGGTACGACTCGGGAGTGTGCAATGTCTCCCGGGCCCTAAAGAGGGCAGCATTGGGCAGGGCCTGGAAAGCTCTGGCCAGGTACTTAAGCACTTAAAACGGCAATGTAGGTGACGCCCCGCGTGAAAGTCAGCGCCGCCCCTGCCTCTCCCCTCTCGGCTGGAACGCTGGTCCACCTAGTTGCTGGGGAAACTCCTCAGATGCCCAGAATCCACTCGGACTTCGGCATAAACCCCAAAGGACTGGGAAAGAATTGGCCCCCCAGTCATCAGGGCGGGTGGATGGGGACGGAGCAACGGCTGGCCCCTACAGCCTCACGGGCTCGACATGCTGACTAGCAGTAAGGCTGCGTGTTTAAGGCGTGAGCAGAAGGCTGGGTCTCGAGGTGGGTCGGGTGGGAGGAGGGGTTTCCTGATGACGTAAGGCATGGGGAGGGACGTAGCTTCCCGGTGACTCGCCGCCAGGAAGAGGGCGGGCCCTTAATGACGAGACGCCGGGGAGGGGGCAGGCGTTCATTGATAAAAACGCCGGCTGCCTCAGGCGCGAGCCCAGCGTAGCAAATCCAGGCAGCCCAGCGCAGCGCCGCGCACCGCCGCGGCCGGGCGGAACCGAGAACAAGCCCGGCCCGCGCCGCGACGCCCAGTCCGCATGGAGCCCGCGGCTGGCATCATGTCCCCGCGCCCCATCCAGCGTGCGGCCGCTCCGCCCGCGCCCCCCGCCGGGCCCGGGCCGCCTCCTAGTGCCATGCCCGGACTTGAACTGGAGACACTGGCCGGGCCGCCGGCCCCGGCCCCCGGGCGCCTCATCACAGACCCCGGCAGCGGCCGCACCTACTTCAAAGGCCGCCTGTTGGGCAAGGTGAGCGGGGGTGGTGCTAGCGAGGGTGAAGTGGGGCCCTTGCCATCCTCTTTGCCCGCGCTGGTCGCGATGGGGGCGCTTGGGACCTCTGCGGGCCAGTTCCAGCCTCCCGTGGAGCACCATGTCTGATGCCCCCTCCTCATAGGGGGGATTTGCCCGTTGCTACGAAGCTACAGACACGGAGACCGGCAACGCCTACGCGGTCAAAGTCATCTCGCAGAGCCGCATCACCAAGCCGCATCAACGCGAGAAGGTGGGCCCGAGCCCAGGCCCAGAGGACAAGGGGTGGGTTGGGGACTGTGGCGTGGGAGCCCTTGAAGGATGACAATCCTGAACCCCTATTGCAGATTCTAAATGAGATCGAGCTGCACCGCGGCCTGCAGCACCGCCACATCGTGCGTTTTTCGCACCACTTTGAGGATGCTGACAACATATATATTTTCCTGGAGCTCTGCAGCCGAAAGGTGAGGGATGGTGATGCGGAGTGTGGGTAGAGGGGCCTTAAGATCCAAAGCTGGAGATCCTGTCTCTTCTTCATCGAGCACAGATGGCGGGAGGGTCAGGGAGGGTAGACAAGGGACTGAGGCAGTGGCTCTCTGTAGTCTCTGGCCCACATCTGGAAGGCCCGGCACACCCTGTTGGAGCCAGAGGTGCGCTACTACCTGCGGCAGATCCTTTCGGGACTCAAGTACTTGCACCAGCGAGGCATCTTGCACCGAGACCTCAAGCTGGGTGAGACTTCTGGGCCCCGCAGGTGAGGGTGGGGGTGGGGTGAGGGTGGGGTGAGGGTGGGATGAGGGTGGGGGTAGGGAGGCGGAGAGAAAGGAGTCTGACGCACCTCTCTGCCTCTGTCCAGGAAATTTTTTTATCACTGAGAACATGGAACTGAAGATGGGGGATTTTGGGCTGGCAACCCGGCTGGAGCCCCCAGAGCGTAGGAAGAAGTGAGTGTTTAAGGCGGGGGTTGGGATGGGGTGGGGGTTGGCCACAGTCTATGTGTGACACAGATGATGTGCATGACAGACAGTATGTGGGAAGCACGATGACTGCCTGATGTGTGTGTGTGTGTGTGTGTGTGTGTGTGTTGGGGGGGGGTAGATGGGGACGAGATGATGGGCTGTTTGTGTGTGACGGTGGAGGTGACAGCCTGGGTCACTGGGACCGGTGGGGAGGCTGAGGGTCCTAAGGGTGTCTGAGCCCTTGTGACAGGTGGGGGTATAAGGATTCTTGGAGGTGTATGACTGATCGCCTGTGTGGATGGGGGAAGGTGACACAAGTGCTGTGTGTGAGAGACAGACTGAGAGTGTGGGAATGGCAGCACGTGACACCCTGTGTGTGTAAGAAGACCCTGCTGTGGCCATGACTGGGTGTGAGCGACACAGATAGCATGTGTGGCAGATGAGTGTTGATGGGGGATGTGACAGCTGGTGTCGGTGTGTGTATGTGGCACAGACCATAGGAAGTGACAGCCTGTGTGGATGTCTGGCAGACGGGAAAAGGGAAGGGGTCGATGGTGGGCCCTCTGTTGACCCTGGAGGAGGAGACTGGGTTGGGGCCACGGCCTCTCCCGGTCCTACAGAGCAGCTGAGCAGCTGGGCCAGGCGGGTGGGCGGGGACTCAGCTGCCACCCGCAGCCTCCATTGTCCCGGGACAAGCAGGAGTTCTCTGGCCTTTGGTGACAGGCAGCTGCTTTCTCTGGACTCACAGTGGGGGCAGGGCTGGGGCTGGGCTGGGTCTGAACCTCCCCTTCTCCTCCGTACTTCTTTTTAGGACCATCTGTGGCACCCCTAACTACGTGGCTCCAGAAGTGCTGCAGAGGCAGGGCCACGGCCCAGAAGCAGATGTGTGGTCCCTGGGCTGTGTCATGTGAGTCCTAGGTCATCTGCATACAATGGGTGCATGGGTGGGGCATACCTTCCACTTCGTTCCGGATCACTTATCTCTGTCCCACAGGTACACGCTGCTGTGTGGGAGTCCCCCCTTTGAGACAGTCGACCTGAAGGAGACGTACCGCTGCATCAAACAGGTTCACTACACGCTACCCGCCAGCCTCTCACTGCCTGCCCGGCAGCTCCTGGCAGCCATCCTTCGAGCCTCGCCCCAGGACCGCCCTTCAATTGACCAGATCCTGCGCCATGACTTCTTTACCAAGGTCTTTGGCTTACCAGACACCTGAGTCCAGTTTGCACATTCCCAGGGGGTTGAATGGGGGCAGGTGGAGGACCCCCGGGGCCCCTCTTTTCTGCTCACGTGGCTCCACTCCTCAGGGCTACACCCCCGACCGGCTCCCTGTCAACAGCTGCGTGACGGTCCCAGACCTGATACCTCACAACCCAGCTAGGATTCTGTTTGTCAAAGTTACCAAGAGCCTCTTTGGCAGGAAAAAGAACAAGAGTGAGTGTGGGATGCCAGTGGTTTTGAGGGGACAGAGCGGCAGCGGGGGGCTTGTTACACACACATACCTTGTGGTGGTGTGAGAGTGAGTGCCTGTGAGCCTCTGGGGAGAGCGTGTGCTACACAGGCACATAGGTGTGCCAGCCTTTATTACCCCTGTGGGAAGCAGGATACTGAGGGTTGTATCTGCCCCCATCCAGGTAAGAACCAACCTGAGGAACGGGATGAGGTTTCCTGTTTGGTGAGCGGCCTCACTCGGACATCCATTGGCCCTCAGGATGCCAGGCCTGAGGTGAGGCGCTCACGTGAGCGGTGTTCCCCTGACTCACCCCCATCCTAGCAGCTGCGGGAAGCTCGGGATAAAAGAGGCTGCTGAAGCATCTTGCCTTGCGGTGGCCTAATTGGCTGTGTCTCATTCGCCAGGCAGGGCTGACCTGGGCTGCCCTGGGTGCCAGGGCAGGGTTGGGCCATGGACTCTCAAGGGTTTGGATTTCGGGGCCTACCTCACTCCCTTGCCCTACCCACCCCTGCAGGCGCCAGCAGCTTCTGGTCCAGCACCCCCCAGCCTGGTAGAGACAGCACCTGAAGACAGCTCACCCCGTGGGACGCTGGCGAGTAGCGGAGATGGTGAGCAGCCAGGAATATGAGAGGTGCTAGAGGTTGCTGGGGCAGAGGTCAGGGGCCAGAGGAAAAGAGTGGCAGAAGGCCATAGCCTGGGTTCTAGGGGACGAAGGCCTAATTCTGAGTACCCGTTTCCCTTCAGGGTTTGAAGAAGGTCTGACTGCGGCCACAGTGGTGGAGTCAGCCCTCTGTGCTCTGAGAAACTGCCTGGCCTTCATGCCCCCAGGTGAGGCTGGGGTCTGGTACCTGTGAATGGTGGTGGGAACTCTTTGGCTGGGAGGCGAGGAACAGGTCCTTACTCCTTCCTCTCCTGTGACAGCGGAGCAGAACCCAGCTCCCCTGGCACAGCCAGAGCCTCTGGTGTGGGTCAGCAAGTGGGTTGACTACTCCAACAAGTTTGGCTTTGGGTATCAGCTGTCCAGCCGCCGAGTGGCTGTGCTCTTCAACAATGGCACACACATGGCCCTGTCGGCCAACAGAAAGTAAGTGCTGTTGCGGGGCGCCTCGTATCCAGGCCATTGTACCTAACCGGGATGCATCTTGGTAGGGGCTCCTGGGCTTGGGGACCTGGGGTCTTTCAGGGGAGGGGCATCAGTGCGGGGCTCGCTCTGACCTCTGCCTCCTCTCCTGCAGGACTGTGCATTACAACCCCACCAGCACAAAGCACTTCTCCTTCTCTGTGGGTGCCGTGCCTCGGGCCCTGAAGCCTCAGTTGAGTGTCTTGCGGTATTTCGCCTCCTACATGGAGCAGCGCCTCATGAAGGTGTGTGGACCGGGGTGGGGCACATTGAGGACTAACGTTCTAGTCCTTTCCTGTTCCCCTTCATGGGCCTCGAAGCTAAAGGCTGAACCTCTAAGGGAGATATCAATGGGGAGGGGTTCGACTCATGTCAGACAAGTGACTTGTCCCTGCTCCCAGGGTGGCGATCTGCCCAGTGTGGAAGAAGTGGAGGTACCTGTCCCCCCACTTTTACTGCAGTGGGTCAAGACCGATCAGGCCCTACTCATGCTGTTTAGTGACGGCACCGTCCAGGTAAGAGCTCCCCCGGGAGTTGAGGGAAGGTCTGGGAGGCCCAGGATGGTGGGGAGGAAATGCCATGGAGCCTACACCCTGATCAATGCCACCCGTCTGTGCACAGGTGAACTTCTATGGAGACCACACCAAGCTGATCCTCAGCGGCTGGGAGCCCCTCCTTGTGACCTTTGTTGCCCGCAATCGTAGTGCTTGTACTTACCTCGCTTCCCACCTTCGGCAGCTGGGCTGTTCCCCTGACCTGCAGCAGCGGCTCCGTTATACTCTGCACCTGCTCCGGGACCGCTGCTCAGCCTAGGCCCCAGCCCGGAGAGCGGGCTCTGACCCAAGCTGTCAGGCCTGAGGCCTGTGCCTGTAAGGCTCTGGCCCTTTCCTCTGTGGCCCTCCCTGTCCCTTTGGTGCCTCACTGGGGGCTCTGGACCTAATCCCCCAGGGAATCAGGGACCAGCTTTACTGGGGTTGGAGGCTACCTGTCCTAGCTGCCTCCTACCCCTTCTCCAAGAGAAGCCTGAGCCTTAGCCCCCAGCTAGGGGGCGTTATTTATGGACCACTTTTATTTATTGACAGACATTTATTTATTGGGATGTGCGCCCTAGGGAGAGTCTCCTTCTGGGATAATAAACCGTTTTTGCAGAAGTCGGACATCTCCTTACTCATAGTAGAGACCGTGGACCGTGGCCACTGCAAAGAGCGAGGCGTTGGAGAAGGTGGCGGAGGCCACACCATCATGCGCTGCGTCCCAGAGTGCACGGCTGGCCACGTGCACCCCCTGGCCTGTGTGCTGGCCCAGGACCACGCTGCACACCAGCTTGTAGCGCGGCAGGCTAAGCTCTCTCAGGCGAATGTGCACCAGTTCGCACAGCTCCCGGGCCAGCCTCCCAGCCTTGGTGCCAGAGTAGCATGTGTCTTGTAGTCCCGCAGCCAGCACTTCCTCCAGCGCACGTTGTGCTCTCGTGGCCTCCCAGTGCTCCCCCGGCGCTGGCTCAGTGCGATATGAAGGCGCCATCCTTCGGGGAAGTGCCAACGGCAACCCTGAGAAGCTGACTCGTGATCCTAAAGGGGGCACTGGGCCCAAGGATGGTCGCCGACCCCCAGGACCCACACCTGGTCCAGCCAGTGAACTGCGGCGCGAAAAGGATGAGGCCAGACCCAGCATGGAGCCACCACGGGAGGCTGGGCCCAGACCTGCTGGTCGAGCCTCAATGCTGGGCAGGTGGCCTGGAGGCCGCACCAATGACAGTTTCAGTCCGGGGTCTTTGGTTGTCTCCTCCTCCTGGTGTCCCGGGGGCACAGGCCTGCCAGCCATCGACCTGCTGGCTGAAAACCCACACTTGGATTGGGTGGCTTTCACTTGCCATCTTTGAGTGCCACCCAGTTTCTTACTCAGTAATAAGGGTTTTTACCCCCTAACCCCTTCTTACCTGTGTTTTTGATACAGGTAAATCAAATATTCCAGGGCTGAGTGGAGTCCTAGGTGCTTAGAGGGTTAAGGGCTGTTAGGGGCACAAGCAAGGGAAGAGATGCTGCTTAGACTGTCATCTTGGGCTAGTCCCTGCCTCCTGAGCTCCACTTTCCCCTGGGCACCATAGAGGTTAGCTAATTAAGCTCCCTTTCTCCCTTCCACCTGACTGCCAGCAGAAGGGAGAGGTATCTCCCTTTTGGCTTAGTTTAAACAGTGCTGCCTCCAACCCCTAACCAGGAGGAAGGACAGACAGACCCAACTCTAACCCCGGTCCTTCTTGCCCTGTGAGTATCGAATCCAGGCACCTTCCACCCCTGCCTACTCCTACAATGATGGGCACAAATTTCTCACAAGTGGCTGAGGCTGGAGGCAGGTGACTCATGAAACTCCTTCCACCCTCTGCATTTGGCCTCTGGCCCTACCTCCAAAATCAGTCCTGGGATGGCTGCCCGAAACTCCCGCAGGCACCGAGTCACAGCCTTCGGCCTCCCGCTCTCAGCCTGGCTGGCCTGAGCGGCCAGTGGGAAAATAAGGGCCCCTTGCCTGTGTTGTGGTGTTGCCATGGGTTGCTGGGCGAAGCACTCCTCCCTTCCTAGTTCCCTCCCTCCATCCTGGCTCTGGCTTAACCTGGGAGTGTTACTACTGTGAGCACGTGCTGAGTATAGCCTGCCTGAGTCATCAGGGGAAAGGGGACAACAGAGCCTTAGAGCCCAGGATCAGTCTACCATGACAAGGACAACTGAGGGAGTGGACATAGAGAGGGCTCTGGTCAGAAAGGTGTCCCTATTCCAGAGCTTTTAAGCCACTGTCCATTTCTCCCCTTGTGAAGAATGGCTCTTCACTCTTCACTGGTGAGTAAGTCTGCGAGGCCTGAGATAGGAGGAGGCCTTGAGACTGTGGGGGTGGCCGCTCAGGAATCAGGATCCCGCCCCACAGGAAGGAGCACATCAGAACTCTCTCCACGACTACCATCTCTCCTTCAGTCTAAACAAGAGCAAACATTTCCGCTCCCAGAGCAGAGCGCAGGCGGGGCTTGGCTGACTTCCTGAACTGAAGGCTGCCTTAGCACCCTGGAGGGAGGGGTGGAGGGGGTGCTCGCGTTCGGCTAGGCCTCCAGCCTCCTGGCTCCTGCTGACCCAAGTACTCTGGGGTTTGTCCCCAGCTTGCCACCTCTTGTGTTGCATTTCAGGGATGCCAGTGGCCGTGACTCCTTTGTCAGAGCTGACAACTCCTCACCTGACTCCTCTCTGGGAGAGACAGGACTGCCCCCTCCCAAATAAGCCCTGTCTGGGCCCTGAAACCTGTTCAGGGCTTTCCCTGGGTAAGGGCCCCTTGCCTGTTTTGTGAGGTTGTCATGGGTTGCTGGGCAAGCACTCCCTTCCTGGTTCCCTCCCTTGTGGAGGGGTTTTTCCCAGACATGGCTAACTTGATCCTAACCCTGTGTGTGGGTGGAGGGGTAGGAGGGGCAGGGAGTTTGAACGCTGAACCTAGGACAGGCAAAGGCCAGGGTGTTAAAACCCTCGGACTCTGCTTAGGCCCCTGCTGAGGTCTGAAGTTTTCCCTAGGCCTGTGGGAGTTGGGCGTGGCCTCCTCAGGCCAGGCTCCAGTTTCCTTGGAAACCCACAGGCTTCCCACCCTAGCGGGTGCCTGGGCAGGCTCCCAGCTGGGGCCTCATTTGCAGCTAGCCTCTCCTCCCTGTCTGGTCAGCTCCACCTCAGCCTCTCTTGGTCCCCTCCCTGAGGCCCCAGCCCCAAGCCCAGCCCCTGGTCTTCTCCACCAGCCTCTAATGCCTTCTTCAGGAACCTGGGGATCTCCTGCCCCATCCCTAAACAGCTTCTCAGCAAACAGGCCTCCCAAGCTCCTGCCCCTCCCTCTCAGGCCTTTTAGTCTCCTTGCCAGCTCTAAGGCCTGGCCAGGCCTCCTCCTCTTTCCCACCTACTGCCTCCCACATACCAGCGACCACAGGCCTCCTAGGCTATTCCACCCACTTGCTCCCCTGCCCCACCCCATCCATGGAGACCCCCGGACTGGTTGTGCATGGGGAGGCTGAGCCCTTTTCCACAGCGCTCCGAAGCCTCGTCAACAACCGCCTATACAGGTGAGGGGGTTGGCCCTGACTGCGGGTTTTGACAGCTGGCTCTGCTGGCCCCACGACTCTGAGGAAGCCCTGGGTACAGAAGAGGCAGGGAATTAGGACTTGACCCTCTTGCTGAACTCAGGGTCCATGATATCCTGAGAGCCAGAGGCGGAGGGCAGTGGGGACTGCAACCCAGAGTGACTGTGTAACCTCAGGCAAAGGCCTTCCGTTTCTTGGCTCTTGGGCTCCTGGCAGAGAAGAGCCCTCTGTCCCCTGGATCCTGAGAGATGAGATGTAACTTGAGTCCTACCGTGGGGAGTCAGAGGAGCAGATGACCCTGTTGTGGGAACTGGGGATTCACAAGAGGAACAAAGTTCACGGGACTGAGCCAGTCTCGGAGTGGAAGTAGTTCAAGGGTGCTGCCTGGGGCTCACTGTCGGCCTGGGACGCAGGTGGTGTCCAAAGCGCGGGATAGAGTATGGGGACAGGACTGGTCGGGAGAACTAGAAAGCAGCTTTCTGACCTCACTGGCTCAGAGCAGGGCTCCTCTGCCAAGGGGTGGTGACTCCCACAGTCCTACTGCTTTGGGGATCACAGTTTGGTCTGAGTAGCGGGAACCCCAGGCCTTGGGTCAGGGACTTAGAGGCTCCAGAAACTCATGCCTCCTACTCACTATGTTGTCAGAGGCCTAGAGGCTAGGGCAGGAAGTGATCAGGAAGATGGAAAATGTGGTCTGGCCTCTTGATGGTGCATTACTGCCACGTCTGTTTGCAGCTAATGCACCCTGCACCCCCATCCTCCCACCCCCTCCTGCCTGGAGGAAACTGAAAAAGCTGAGTCTGCAGTCTGTGGAGGAGGAGCCAAGAAGAACTTCTCTTGCCCCAGGACTCAGGCTGGGGAGGGGAGGGGAATGCGGGAGCAATCTGGCATCAGATGCCCCCTCAGTGATCCAGCATAGCCACTTCCCCCGAGACCTGAGAGTTCGGAATTGCCATCTAGATTCATGGGGGAGAAACCTGAGACTCAAAAGGTAGAAAGTCATTTGCCTTAGGTACTATAGAATGGAGCTGGGACTAGAACCTAGGCCTGTATGTCCCAGACCTTCGGCTGGAAGGACTAAGCCCTGTCTCTTTTGTGACAGATAAGAAACTAAAGGCCCAGAATGGGCAAATGCAAAGCCTAGCATCGCACCGTACACTCTGACCTCTTCTCCCTGGCTCTCTGCTCTTCTTTCCCACAGTGATGTTCGCTTTGTGGTCGGTCAAGAACGGCAGGAGGTGTTTGCCCACCGGTGCTTGTTGGCCTGTAGATGCAATTTTTTCCAACGACTTCTGGGCCCAGAGCCAGGTCCGGGGGTGCCTGGCCCTGTGGTGCTAAGTACTGTGCCAGCTGAGGCCTTCCTGGCAGTGCTGGAGTTCTTGTACACCAACAGTGTCAAGCTGCACCGCCATTCTGTAAGCCCACTGGGCAGGGATCTGAGAGGGTGGGGGTGGGCTGGGGGGCAGGGAGAACTCCCTTCCACTCCAACCACCCATTTTGCAGGTGCTGGAGGTGCTGACGGCAGCTGTGGAGTATGGGCTGGAGGAACTGAGAGAGGTGGGTTCATGTGGCAGGCCCCTGCCTCTGTTCCCTCGTCTCCCTTGCTTCTGTTAGACTCGGTTCATACCCTGCCTCACGACTCACACTCATTCTGTCCTGGAGAAGAACATGTGCCAATGCAGAGAGAAGTACAGATATCTCTCTGTGGAAACAGGCATTTATGTGTGCCTGTGTGCAAAAGGATACACGCATGCCTTGTGCGTGCTGTGGGGGCATAAGACATGTTTATGGCTGGTGTTGTAGACACCAAGATAAGACAGCTTTGATCCTTGTTCTTCAAAGAGAGATAAACAGCTTCCAGGAAACCAATTCAAAGATAATCAGATACCATCATAGTTCCGACCATAAATGATGCCGACTGGAAATGCAGCGGTGTTATTCCCATGACCTGCCAGGCAGCTTCCAGGAAACCAATTTGAAGACGATCAGATACCATTGTAGTTGCGACCATAAATGATGCCGACTGGCAATGCAGCAGCATTATTCCCAAAGAGAGACAGACACGTGAAAACTCTCCTGTGTGGAGGACTGGGCTATATGGCCTCTTCAGTCTCCAACTTGACCTCCCCTAACCCAGTGGCATAAGAAGTGTGATAAATGAGGGTAAATGGTGCTGAGACTGTACAGAGGGTCTCTCTCCCTCTAGTCTCACCACCAGGGAGAGAGGAGGGCAAGGCTTCCTGGAGAAGGAAACATTTGTGTTGGGTCACGTAGAACAGGTAGGAGTTTGTTCAGAGGGGGAGTGAAAGATGGCATTCTAGTCACCGGAGCACAAAAGGAGCTGGTGAGACTTTCAGTGTGGCTGGACGGAGAGTGTGAGAGGAGGCAAGGGAGAGATGAGATTGGAGAGGGTGCCAGGGGCTGGTTCATGCAGGACCTTCAAGAATTTGGACTTCTTTTACCTAGAGGGTGGTGGAGATTCACTGGAGGTTTCCCGTAAGGGAGTAAAGATTTGGAAGTTAAGGGGAGATGGGACTGGGAGAGATGGGAAAGACTTGCCAGTCCTCTAGAAATGGAGGTGGCAGTGGAAGCCCAGGGAAGCACTTCATGGCTTTGAGGGAAGTGGAACTGGCATGACCCAGTGTTTTTCTGGATGTGAGGATGAAATGAAGCTGTCATGGATGAAAATCAACTTTCTAGTTGTGTTTTTGAGTGTCTTTAAGTCAGGAGAGGGGACAAGTAGAGGAAGATAAGCATCCCAAGTGAAAGGGGGAGTGGAAATTTTGCATGGCTCTTCCCTAGTCTGATTAGCGGTGAGGGTGCTAGAAGGTAGGCAGCTGGGCTGGGCTTGTCAAGCAAGGCTCAGGGCCTAGTGATTCCCTGCCTCCCTTGGCCTGGGAGTCAGTGGGCCTGGGGCTGCTAGGAGCCTAGGCAGCTGACTGCTCCGAGCCTGCTCACTACTTCTGGGGTGGAGTTGGGGCCGGGGGCAAGGGTACCTCAGCACAACCCACATTCATTTCTGTTGCCAGATATGCCTGGAGTTTGTGGTTAAGGTGCTGGATGTGGAGCTGGTTTGTGAGGCCCTGCAGGTGGGTGTTGCTGGACCCAGGCAGGTAGTCCCAAGTGTGGAGGGCTGGGCTACATGGCCTTTCATGTCTAACTTGATCTCCCTCATTTTGCTCCAGGTGGCTGTAACTTTTGGCCTGGGACCATTGCAAGAGCGTTGCATAGCCTTCATAGAGACCCACAGCCAGGTACAGCTTCTCATTTTCATACTCACAAACCCCCGCACCTCATTCTGCTCTTCCCTGACCAGTTCTCGGATCCACAGGAGGCGCTTCGGACCCGCGGTTTCCTGGAGCTGTCAGCGTCCGCGTTGCTGCCTCTGCTGCGCAGTGACAAGCTTTGTGTGGACGAAGCTGATCTTATCCTGGCGGCCCGAAGCTGGGCGCGCGTGGGCGCGGTGAGCGGGGCGAAGGGGAACGTGGACTGAGGGTGCTGAAGAATCGGGCCGCAGGAACCCGGCCAGTGGGCAGCGGGCAGCCGGCCAGGTGCCCCCGCGCACCTGCGCTCAGGGCTGGTGTTTGCAGGCAGTGCTGGAGAGGCCTGTGGCAGAGGTAGCGGCCCCAGTTGTGCGGGAGTTGAGACTGGCCCTGCTGGCCCCAGCGGAGCTGAGCGCCCTGGAAGAGCAAAATCGGCGGGAGCCGCTCATTCCGGTGCGGACGCGAGGAACCAGGCTCAGATCAACTGAACAGCGTGGGGGAAAGGCGCGGGAGGGAGGGCGGCTGAGGGTTGCAGAGTGAGGCTGGGGTGGGGGGGACTGCAGGACTCCACGGTGATTGGCTTTCCCTTGCAGGTGGAGCAGATCGTGGAAGCGTGGAAATGCCACGCTATGCGGAGAGGGGATGCAGCCCGGGGTGCCTCCTGCCGCCGCCGGAGGGGCACCCTGCCCCGGGAGCATCATCGCTTTCTGGACCTGCCCTTTAAGTGACCAAAAGCCAGATCTTGCGAGGAACGCTGGGCCTGTCTCAAACTACATCTCCCGACATGCTCAGCCTTCGGAGCGGGCTTCCCCTCCCAGCCTGCTCGGCGAGTGGGGCGCGGGAAGGACGCTGCCGCCTGGCGCCTCGCTCTGTGGGTGGGGCCGAGGAGGAGGAGGAGGAGTGGAGAGCGTGGGCTTGGCCTGGGCCTTAGCTCGTGGCCACGCTAAAATCCAAAATGGTTCTCCCTCGCACCATACCCTAACTCGACACCCGGTCCCTGGGCTCTCCCGCCCGCCCCGTGTACTCTTAAAACCACCTCATAGCTTTTCAGCTCGGCCCCGTCTCAATTTCAGAACCGCTCCTGGGGATTGCTTTCTAAGTGTCCCACGGACACCTCAGACTCAGTTCCAAACTGTGCTTCCTCTTCTTTCCCCCATGGTGTCTTCTTTTGACCCATGGTGTTTCTCAGTTCCGTGGGTGCCCAAGCCAAGAAGCGTGGATCTCGTCCTGGCCTTAGTCCTTTTCTTCACATCTGCTTCCCGTGGCTTCTACCGTCTAAGAGACTAAAGGGCAGCCGAATATGCCAAGCCAAAACATGCCCCTTTTGGCCTAAGGATTATTTTAAGCTGATTATTTTGAGAAACAGGAGAAGCTCTGAAAATAGAGTACAAGTTACCCTTTTGTAAGGGAAATATATACTTATAAAGGAAATTTCTATTTGTAAGGGCTCCTCCCTCTTTGTACCAGGAAAAGAATGACTAACTCAAGAGAACTCTCAGTGGGGAAAAGGCACCACTGAAATCTGCCTGACAAGCCTTACCCTGTTTACTGTGCTTCCCCTGGTGGCCCTGCACTTTTCTTTCTTCTGTCTTAGCTGAGGATGGTATTTAAGCAGGTATTTTAGGCCGTCTTTGGGAGTTACTCATTTTTCCCTCGGTATCTCCCATGTATACAGGAAGTATATATGTTAATAAACTTATGTTTGTATTTCTCGTTTATGTATATTTTTATTAAAACTTTTTTTTTTTTTTTAAATTCAGGGGTTTCAGCCAAGAGCTCAGAGTAGAAGGGAAATTATTTTTCCTCCTTTACAAGATTTTTACAGCTCATTCCCCTCTTTCAGCCTTAGTTCTGTCAGTACTATCTGGGGCAAGAATTACTGCTAGATTCTAATTAGTCTTTCTGCTTTCGTTCTAGTGCCCTCGCCCCCCAGACCATTTCCCACACTGTTACAGACTTATCTAAGCTTGTCAGCCTTACTCCCTTTATTCAGCCTCTCAACTTCCCCAGTGCCCTTATGACAAAATAGAATCTATTTCACTTTCAGGGCACTCAAAATTTACTGGTGGCTGCAAATAGCAGCTGTTCTTTCGTGAATTCATTGGTCCTGAAGGCACTAGTCCTCTAGCTCTGGATTTACTCTTCTGGTGATTGAAGACTCCCCGTGCTACCTCTCTCATTCATCACACACTTTATCTTCCTGAGGAACTGACTCTCCCTGGAGGAGGATCCCTAGAGTGGGGCCCTGTTAATTTCTGCTTCCTCAGTGTCTCTCACTTAGACAGTGCTCTGTAAATGTTCCTTTATGACTTTTTTCCTTATTTAAATGCTATTTTATTCCATAAAGAGTGTGGCTCCAGAAGAGGCACCCTTAATCACTGTGCTACTGATGGGGTTCAGGACATGCTACCCCAAAATATGGCACCTTGGCATATTGAATATTTTAAACTGAAGGAATTTGAGAAAACAGGAAAGTCACTTTGACGTCCCCAAACCACTGCGTTCCACCCTACTCCATCCCACTGCACCCTCCCCACCGTGCCCCACCCTGCCCCACCCTACCTGTGACACAGAGAGATCTGATCAGATCACTGTGGAGGAATAGAGAGGCGGCAGCGTAGGACGAGTTTGCTGAGACAATGGTATGCAGTCTAGGATGGGATTGGCTGAGAAGCTGAATGATTCCAGAGCTCATGGAAAAAAGGAGAGCAGGGGCTCTCTGGCTCTCTCCCTCCAGTGTGCCTGGGTGATTGTGCTGCAGCTGCCTGCCTTCCCCAAAAGTGCCTTTTACTGAAGAAGTTCATAGGCCTGGGGCGTGACTACTCACCATGACCTGCCCGGTTAGGATTTTCTAAGATCACCCTGTGAGGTTAGTTTCAGTTAGATTTATTATGGTGCCTCTTTCCACCTACATCCCTTTTGCTAAAAGGAAAGATAGTGTTGGAGAGGAAAAAGTTTTCTTTGCCCCTTTTAGGATCTCTGGTTGGATCTGAAATCAAACTGACAAAGACATTAACAGGAGAAAAAGCATATACATTTATTTAAGTTTTACATGGCATGGGAACTGAAGCCTGGAAGAAAAGGTTAAACATGAATATTTTTATGCTAGGTTTGATGAAGACCGGACAGTTATAGAGAAATATGACAGGTTAAAGAGTGTGAGGTAAGTGTAACTGGGGGAAATTAAGCAACCCCTCCAGGTTACAATTCTTCTTGGAGACCCTTTGTCTTTGGAGATAAGGATGACAACTTTCCTCCTGGTATAGGGAAGGTTCCTCTCACCTGAGGATTTCAAGACCTGCTTTTAGGGAGGAGGGAGTAGGTGAGGGTGTTACTGCATAGCAAGTGGGGTCCTGCTGGCCCCCCGCAACCCTGTAAGCAAAATTCCAGAGGCAAAGGTTTAGTGATAAAAGAAAGGAGTCCTTATTCAAAAGCTTCATACTTTTGGAATAACAGCTTTCCACATACATTAGTCACCTAAGCCTATCAATTAAGGCTAAACTCTTTAACACCTAAGTTCTATCATTTCCCCTGCTAGTTTTAATTATTTTATTTCTATACAATTATTTACAAACTAAAACAACACAAGATACAAAAGCTACACAATTTTGTAAGAACGGCAGGCTTCTGCTTTAGAGCCCACCCCTCTAGACACCCAAAGAAGAATAACCCTGTCACCCTCTGCCAGGCCAGCCCGATCCTAGGCTGTGCTCAGAGTTTCTCCTCTAAAATACTGTCCGTTGGGGAAGGCAGGCAGCTGCAGCACAATCACCCAGGCACACTGGAGGGAGAGAGCCAGAGAGCCCCTGCTCTCCTTTTTTCCGTGAGCTCTGGAATCATTCAGCTTCTCAGCCAATCCCATCCTAGACTGCATACCATTGTCTCAGCAAACTCCTCCTACGCTGCGGTCTCCCTATTCCTCCCCAGGGATCTGATCAGATCTCTCTGTGTCACGGGCAGGGTGGGGCAGGGCGGGGAGGGTGCAGTGGGATGGAGTAGGGTGGAGCACAGTGGTTTGGGGACGTCAAAGTGACTTTCCTGTTTTCTCAAATTCCTTCAGTTTAAAATATTCAATATGCCAAGGTGCCATATTTTGGGGTAGCGTGTCCTGAACCCCATCAGTGATTAAGGGTGCCTCTTCTGGAACCACACCGCCTGCGTTTGAATCCCAGCGCCACCACTTTCTGGCTATGTCACTTGAGTGAGGCTATTTAACCTATCCATGCCTCACTTTTCTTATTTATAAAATGGATGTAATAAGAGATCCTATTCAGTAGGTTTCTTAGGAAGATGGATTTTGTAAAGTGCTTAGAACTGTAGTGGGACAGATTAAATACTGTATATGTGATTTAGAAAATACATCTATTCATCCATTTGTTCCACAAATATTCATTGAGTATTCACGTGCTGTGCCAGACATTGATTTTTAGGTCATGGCATCCATCAGAGAACAAGTCAGGAAAGTCCCTGCCTCACGAAACTTACATTCTAGGAGGAGAAACATGCACAGAGAAGTAAAGAAATTAATGGATGCTATAAGCAGAGTAGTCTGAACTCGAAGAAAAATAAAGCCTGTGTTCAAAGGATAAATGGTGAGATGGTGGGAGTGGGATTGTTTCATTGAAGGTGGTGAGTGTAAACCTTTGATGAGATAATTTTGTTCTAGAGAACTGAAGGCGCAGGAAGGAGCACAAACTTCATGTTTTGGGGAAAGGCAGGAGAATGGGGGGGAGGAGCGGGGGGGAGAGAGAGAGAGAGAGAGAGAGAGAGAGATCAGGGTAACTATTTTTTTAAAATTTATTTACTTTTAGAGAGAGGGAAAGGAAGGAAGAAAGAGAGAAAAAGGAATAAATGTGTAAGAGATACATCGATGGGTTGCCTCTCCTAGAGCTGCAACTGTAACCCAGGTGTTCGTCCTGACTGGTAATTGAACTGGTGACTTTTCAGTTAAAAGACCAGTGCTCAGTGCCCTGAACTACACCAGCCAAGGCCAGATTTGCATTTAAAAAATAATTTGGTTGTGCCTTGGCTGGTGTGGCTCAGTGGGCTGAGCACTAGCCTACAAACTGGTCAACCCATCCATGTTTCTTTCTCAAGTCAATGTTTCTCTTCCTCTCTCTGAAGTAAATAAATAAATCTTTAAATATAAAAAACAAAAAATAAAAATATGTAAGTAAATAAAAGCACTTAAAAAATAATTTGGCTGAAAATTAAGAGAGACAAAGAGAGAGTGGGATGGTAGAATGCAGTCTAAGGAGACGAGTTGCATAAATCCATGAACAGGGCTCTTAAACTAGGATGATGGCAGTGGGGGAGGTAAAATGGGGTTGTAGGAAGCGTAATTCTTTGAATGGGACCTGCTGATACCTGCAGAATTTGGAAGGTCACCAGCTGAGAGATTTTCACAATAAGCTACTCACAATTTACTAAAATGGTGTACATGTAATTGGTTAAAAGAACTTCAGTTTTTGTTTCTTCACCTGTAGGATATTTAAAATAATGCAATAACTATTGTAGAAAAAAAGAGTTGACCCAAGGCAGTTTCTGTTTTTGAACTTATAAAAATTAGCCTCATAAAACATGAGGCCTCAAAAATTGTTTGGAAACTCGCAATTGTTTCTCTCCACGGAAATCTTTAGTAAAAGGCGAAAGATTTGTTCGTTATGAAGAGAAACCAGAGTATGCTTCCCCGTTTCAGCTCGGAACCTGCCAGAGCAAGCCAACCGTCTGCACATTTACGGTTAATGCCTGCGCGGTTCGCGCTCCCGGCCTCCTGTTTGTATGGACCGCACATTTCCAACAAGCAGTGTGCCCTGCAACAGTGGACAGATTCCCGTGGGCTGGAACTAAAGCGACGTGGACTGTTTTCGTAGTGCACCACGGGTATGCAAATCGCAGGCTGATTTGTGACACCAGCTGCCTCCGCGGGGCGGCGCCATGGGGACGCTGGGGCGATAGGTTTTCCTCTCTCCTCTGAGGGTCCACCAGCAACCCGCACCCGGTTTGCCCTGAGAGGAGGTGTTTTAACGTCAGTGCTAGGGGCCGAGTTCCTTAGGGGGCTGGGATTAAGTCCCACTCGTTGAGGTTTAGTCCCGTCATTCGTTAATACCTTCACGGACTCCCCAGTTCTCAGAACAGAAGTAGAGACTGTCCAGCACAATCAGGGGAGACACATCATCCCCTCCCCACAAGGGGATTGGCATCCAATTTATCTTTTTTTTTTTTCCTAAGGTTTATTTATTTACTTCTAGAGGGAAGGGGAAGGAAAGAGAGGGGAAGGGAGGGAGAAAGGGAGAAAAACATCAGTGTGTGAGAGGTAGATCAATCAGTTGCCGTTCGCACATCCCCAACACCCCAGCCTGGGACCTAGCCCTCAACCCTGGCATGTGCAGGGACTGGGAATCAAACTGGCAGCCTTTTGGCTCACAGGGCGCCTTTCAATCCACTAAGCCAGACCAGCCAGGGCAGCATCCAATTTACCCTGAAGGATATAGCTCAGGAGAGGTGGAACAGTGTTCTAGGGGAGGGAATAGCAGAAGAGAAATTATGGGACATGAACACCGAAAGTAATTCAGCCTGTGTACAACGTGATGTGCCTGAATGAGGGCGTGTCTGGCAGGGCTCCATCCCAAGGAGAGGTGGGGTGACAGCAGAGGCTAAGTGGAGCTGGGCCTGAAAATGGCTTGGATTTTATCTTGTCAGTGATGGGAGGGGTGAGAAGGCGTTGAAATGAGAGAGCTGAGTACTGCGAGGTGCCACACAGGGTACACTGCCTTGCAAGCAGTGAGACTTGTTTCAGGGACTGGTTGTGGTCAGTGCCCCGGAACCGACCATTCCTGGGGTGGTCAAGCTCCAATTGGCTGGAATCACTTCAGCTGCTGCCATACTAGGACACACCCTTCATTCCATGTTTCAGGGTTTTCCCTAAGCATGCAATCAGAGCAAAACACTTTCGACAAAGTTAACATCTACACAAAATATAAAAATAGAGAGCCCCGCCCTGGCCAGCGTGGCTTGGTTGGTTGGAGCATCTTCCCGCACGCCAAAAGGTTGCGGGCTTGGCGGCTGGTCAGGGCCCATACCTAGGATGCAGGTTCCACCCCCAGTCGCTGCATGTTTGGGAGGCAACCGATTGGTGTTCTCTCTCTCTCTCTCTCCCCTTCTCTCTCTCTTTCTGTAATCAATAAATGTATCACCGGACGAGGATTAAATTTTTTAAAATCTTTAAAAAAATACCTTTTTTATGCCCTGGCTGGTGTGGTTCAGTGGATTGAGCACCAGCCTGTGAACTGAAAGGCTGCTGGTTCAATTCCCAGTCAGGGCACATGTCTGGGTTGTGGGCCAAGTAGGTGAGAGGCAGCCTATTGATGTTTCTCTCCCTCTCTTCCACGCTCTCTAAAAGTAAATAAATAAAATCTAAAAAATATACCCTTTTTAAAAAATAGAGAGCACTTACGAGATGCCAGGTCATTTCTTACATAAAGGATTTCATCTCCTGATGGTGTGGCTCAGTGGATTGAGCACCAGCCTGTGAAGTGAATGGTTGCTGGTTCAATTCCCAGTCAGGGTACATGCCTGGGTTGCAGGTCAGGTCCCCAGCTGGAGGTGTGCGAGAGGTAACCGACCAATGTATCTCCCACACATTGATGTTTCTCTCCCTCTCTTTCTCCCTCCCTCCTCCTTTCTCTGAAAATAAACAAGTAAAATTTCAAAAGAGAAAAAAGGATTTCATTTAAAATCCTAAAAGAAAAAGATACGATATAGTCTCTAATCTTCCCATTTCACAGAGGAAGACGCTGAGGCTCGGGGAGGTTGGCTAACTTCCCCAGGTCGCGCAGCTGGGAAGCAGCACAGTGGGCGGAGAGCTCTGGCATTGTGCCAGCCTGCTGGGCTCACCATGGTTGGCCAAGGGGCAGCTCTGGGACCACTTTCTTTCCCCAGGGCTTCCTGACCACCCAGGGCAGCCGGAACCTGCGGGCTGCCCGGGCCCTGGAGCACACGTTTGCCCCGGTGACCGACGGGGCCGTCTCCACGTTGCTGGGCCTGCTTATGCTTGCTGGTTCCAACTTTGACTTCATCGTAAGGTAGGGGAGGGCTCCGGGCAGGGCGGCAGGGCCTGCCTATGCTGACCTCAGTCCAGTGGTGTTAGGGCCACTAGTGGCCCTAATACCACCGGACCCAAATCCAGCCAGCCTCTGTCCCTTGGGCAGGTGGGATGCACCCCCTACTCTAGATTCCAAGCCAACTACTCAGTTCTCTTAAAGTCTTTTTAGGTATTTTAGTGTTGATTCAGTTGCATTAGGCTTATGGAGTGATTTTTTTCACTTTCGGTCAGAACATAATCATCTGGCCTTCAGTGTGGTGGGTGAGGGGTGAGAAGGCAGAGCTCTCAGGGTGGCGAGTGGGCGGCTGGGGCCTGGGTGTGTATTTATTTGTATCTATTGAGACCGAGCCCTGGAATAGCTGGGGAAAGGCAATACCCCCGCCCTCCACCCCCACGCTCCTTGGGGTCAGGCGGTGCTCTAGCCCAAGGATGTGGCCAGGGTCTTCAAGACCCCTGTGCAGTGGGGCTGTTCTGCCTTCAGAGAACAAACAGCTTAAATACTGTGCCTCACTCATTGCTAACACACTTTCTGAACAGTCCCGCGCCCACGTCCTGCCCCCCATGCTAATCCCCTGGATGACTGGCCAAAGGTGACTCTGTGACACCAGGCTGACAGCTCACTGGCAGAGGCCTCTGCCTTGGAGGTTGGTCTGGGCACAAAACTCCTAAAATCTCTCCCCAGACCCTGCTGTCCCCATCTTTTCAATTGGCCACTTTCCTGATCTCCCATTTCACTTCCCATCCGTGTACAGCTGTGCCCCCCACCCGTGCCCCACCTGCTGCCGAAACAGGACGGTGGGCGATGAGTGGGTGACGTGTGCAGGGTTGGGTTATGAGCGCTCTGAATGCCACATAGTTGGTTTTGACACCAAAAACATTTATATCATTTTGTATGGTGAGCATTTAACCCAGACCATTATCAAGTATATGACAACACGTTTGCTGAATACAGTCTTCATTTCCAGGTGAATTAACTAGAACTACAGTTAGGTGTCAAAAACTTAGAACCTGGGAACTTTCCGACTTAGGAATAGAGTGGGCCTAGGACCTTACGTCTTGACATTTCTACTCACAAACTTCGAACTCTGTTGGAAAGAAAAGCACCAAAGTCATTTGAGGTGAGTTCATATAGAATATATTTTACTCTTTAAAAATAAAACTTTCAGCATAGCTAACATCTGTATGAACTACAAAAATAAACATCTCCATATAAATAAGTTATGTGGTCGGAGGCGGGCAGGGATACAGGGCCTGCCCAGGAGTCACGGAGCAGTGGGGGGCCGGGCCTGACAAGGGTGCCAGAGGGTCCCTCGGGCTTGGTCTGCCAGGGGCAGCAGTGCGGGGTGGGGTGGCGGGAGCAGGGCTGCACCGCAGCCTGAAGTGCTGGCTTTTACCCCCACCCAGAGACGGGCACACAGGACCCGGGCTGGACGGCTGCTCATGGCCCAGAGGGTGTCGGTTCCGTACGGGGATCAGGGAGGTCAGTGATAGCCGAGTCAGGGACAGGGTGCTGGCAGACAGGTGGCAGCAGCAGAGCTCGCCAGGAGTCTGTCCTGCACTCAGGAACCCGCCCCTTGCTTCCCAGTGGCCTTGTGTGGCCCAAGCAGGGTCTCCATGCTTCAGCCGCTCTTTCACTCAGAGGCTGGACATGGTGCCCTAGAAGTGAGGTTGCTGGAGTTGCTGGCAGCTGGTGTGGCAGCAGGGGACCAAGTAGGCTCTTCAGAGGCTGGGTGGGTGTAGGCACCAGGCAGCGGGGGCGGGTGCAGGGCGATGGTCATGGAGGTAGTCACTCTGGCAAAGCTCTGGGGCAGGGTCGGGGGCAGCCCCCACCGGAGCCCTCCTGCTCGTGGAGCCGAGGGGTTCAGGACCTGCGGGCTCTCCTTGTACATCTGTACCACCTGGGGAGAGACACCATCCCCAGTGAGCCCAGGGGCTGCTGGAGCCACAGTCCCCTTCATCGCCTCCCTGGTGCATCGCCATGGTTGTTGGGAAGCCTTGTTGGCCTCCAGCAGCATATGACAGCTGACAAGGGACAGGGTGTCAAGGCCCAGGACAAACTGTGCACCTTGTTCTGGACCCTAAAGGCTAAAGCCTAAAGTGGGTTCTGTAAGGCAGCCCGGAGAACCCTGGCCAGGTAGCTGAGGTGGTTAGAGTGTGGTCTTGATACACTGAGGTGGCAGGATCGATCCCTGGTCAGGGCACATATAAGAATCAATCAATGAATGCATAAATAAATGGAACAAATTGATGTTTCTATCTCCCTCTCTCTAAAATTAGTAAATAATAATAATAAAAAAAGGCAGCAGCAGCCAGGAGCGATGAGGGGCAGGACACGGTGTCTGGGCAAAATGTCCTTTCAGTTGGTGGCACCTCGTGGGGAGGGTCTTTGTGAGTTGAGCCCTGTCTCTTGGCCACTGAGGGCATTTTGTCCTGGCTCTGTCCTTTCCCCTGCCTGTCCCACCTCATCCGCTGGGCTGGGGAGCGTATGGTCACCTCTGGCGGGGGGCCCAGGAGGGACAGCAGCACAGGCAGCAGCACGAGCCCGTGGAGGAGGCCCAGGAGTGTGAGCACTGTCAGCA